CAGATTGAAGCTACAAATAATGTAATTACTGCGGTGTGTGCTCAGGGCTACCAGAGCAAGAGTTGGCTGCTGCCCTGGAAACATCTGGAGATAAAGCTGCAGCTGCTCCTGCCTCTGTAACCCCCGCCCCGGTCCCTCGGGGGGCAGCGGCATTCTTCCAGCCTAGGAGATCCCCGGAAGGTGACAGGAACACGGAGGGGACAGAGAAAGGGATGAGGAGAGAGGCCAAAGAGAAGAAATAGGTGGTGGGCAGAACGGATGCTTCCTGCCCCCCGGCCGTGAGATGTAATCACTGCACGAACCCCAGTATGGCCATCATCCCCCTGTCACCACGGCTGTCACCACGACCAACACCAGGGCACCATCCCCACAATTACTGTCGTCACCATCAACAGTGGTATCACCCCCACCCTTCACATCATCCTCATTCCCATCACGGTCACTACCATCATTGTCACTGCCAGACGGCCACAGCTTCATCATCACCAGTCTCAGTGCCAACATCATTGCCATCATTTCTACCACCATCGCCAGGGTCATGACACTGACATCTTCATCATCACCAGTCTCATTGGTGCTATCAAAACTGTTATCACCTCCGTTCCCACCCTTACCAATGTCACCACGCCTATGATTATCATCGTCCTCATCCTCATCACTGTCATAGTGCTGGGATCTTCATCATCCCCAGCCTCATCAACACCAACATCATCACCACCATGACTGTCACGGCATTGACATTTTTATCATCAGCAGTCCCATCCTCATCCCGCCATTATGCCGCAGTATCAACATTATCATCAGTTCCACCTTCGTCCATGCCATGGCCATGATCATCAACAGTATGGTCTTCACCCTCACAGCCATCACTGTGGTTACCTTTATCATTGTCTTCACAACTGATGTCAAAATCAAAATTGCCTCCTTCAAGATTGCTCTTATAATCCTCTGCAGAATCATAACTTGTGTTTGGCCCACTCTGCCTTGCCTCAGCCAAACCAGATACCTAGACCTTGGGCCCGGACAGGGGACCATGATCTAAGAGGTTAGGTTGGGTATAGGGCATAGGAAGTAGTTGCCTGCCCGCCTCCAGGCAAATATCAAAAGAGGAAATCCAAAAGGCAGATTCTTGGAGGTGGTAGTGGAGGGAAGGAAACATACTGGTCATTTGGCAGGAAGCATCAATCAGAGGGTCCTAGAGGCAAAAGGAAAAAAGGTAGAGATAGGAGGCATAGGATGGAAACCAAGGACATCATAGGACAGCTAGAAGGTTCAAAACAGGGTTAGGAGACAGAGCCTAAGAGAAACTTCTAGATTTTATAGAGTGCCCACAGCTTGAGGGGAGTGGGAGTAACCAGGCCTGGACAGCTGTCACTCACTGTCACTATCTCCTTTGTGTGTATCCAGCCTCCATGGCTACAAAGTGACCCACACGTGGTCTCTTCCTCACGGAGCACCTGCTCTTAGGGGGACGAAGTGCCCAGAGAGGCACTCAACACACCCAGGATGCAGAGGAGCAGCATGAATGAGCAGTGAGTGGACAGGTCAGGACATGGCCTCCTTGGGGCGAGGGCCCTAAAAAGAGAACTTCCCCAAATGGGACAATTTATTAACAAACCCAGGGTTCTGTTTTGGAAGCATTTATCATCACTGGGGTTGACCCCACACAGAGGGCTTCTCCAGGCTTGTTGACTGTAGGGTGACCAGAGCGGGATAGCAGCACTTCCCTGACTGTAGAAGCACTAGGGAGGTGCCGCTGCCCCACTGTGCATCTTCTCCTGCACCTGACATTGGCCACGAGGGATCCCGGTCACCCAGGAGATGCCCCTAATTGGCCCTGCTGCCTCCCATCCACGGCTGCCCTGTCCCATGTTCCAGGTGGTTCCAGCAGACTCCTGGCAATAACTAGCTCCCCCCCCCCCCCAGAGTGCTGTATCTTTCACCCAGGCACAAGTGGCATTCTCTGGTGTTCTTGAGGCAAGTACAAAGTTCAGGGACAGCACTGTCCATAATTCCTCCTTGTCCCAGGAGGCAGTAAGGGAGGAGAGGGTGGATGTCCCATGAAGAAGAGAAAAATACCCTGAAGACCACCCACTCTGATCAACTGAAAACCACGCTACATCTCTGGATCCATTGGTGCCACCATTGGCCCAGGCAAGAGGGCCCCTTTCCCTGGGTCTGTGCTTTATGGGGGCTGCCCTTGCTCTCCTCTGGTCAGTGTCTCCTCCCAGGACAAAGGGTCAGTGGGACTAAGGGCACTTGCCTAGCAGAAGCCTGTGCCCTGCCCTTCTAGTCTTTGCTCCAAGTATCTAGAACCCTGAATTTCCTACCCAGTTGGCCCTGAACCCACCTCCAGGCCTGCATGAGCCTCTTCCCTGGGTTGTTCTCCAGAGGGAAAGCCAGACTTCAAGGGTCACACTCCTAAACCCTTTCCAGGGGTGAGCAAAGGGCAGCTGTTTGCAGGGGTATGGACAGAGCTCGGACATAGGGGTGGGGTGTCCACATGGAGAGTGCAGTCCTCCTTATGGTTCAGGGCAGAGCCAGCAGTAAAAGAGAGGGGGCAAGGTGGGAGCTGGTACCACCCCTCCCCACATCTCTGTGTGTGGGAAGTCTCCATGCCCACCTGATTTTCCAGTTGTTAGGAAAGTGTATTTGTCAGGGTAGGAGGAAAGGGTGCGTTTTATATAACAGTTTGTTAGCTTGACTTACAACATTTAATATTGAGCCACATAGTGTGTGGGCCTCCATTTATACTCCGGTCTGGGGCCCTGCAAATCTTAAGGGTGGCCTGAGCCGAGTACGTCATTCCCAGAGGCCGTTGGGGCAGCCAGGACAGGTCTGAATCCACCGCCCATCGATGCTTAGGGACTGTGTCTTGTCTCCTCCTACACGCACCATACGTTCCTAAGTGTGCACATAACATCATTCTTGTGGCCGCAGGCTGATGAGTTTGCTGACACTTTATTGATAGATCGGTTAGGGCTCCTCTGGCTGCAAGTGACAAAACACCAAATCCGAAGTGACTTGAGCAAAAAGAGAACGTATCGGTTCATGTACCCAAGGTCCAAGGTTGCACTTGACCGGGGGCTCTTATTCCTACTCTCCTTTGGCTCTGCTCACCTGCATAGTGACTCCGTTCCCAGACAAGCACTGCACTTTGTTTGTGAGCACAGGGTGGCTACCACACCTCCAGATCTTCTCTCCCCCAACGTCTCCTTGCAGAGGGAGAGTGCTACCTTCCTGGTGTGAGGTCTCGTGGCTTCCCATTGGCTCTGACTGGTCACATAACCACCCTCCAACCCAGTGACTGGGGCCTGAAGGAGGCCAGTGTCTAAGGCACTGGGAGTGGAAAAGACAGGAGCCCGAAGGAAAATCAGAGACAGTTGCCAGAAGAAAGGGCGAGAGTTCCTGGGGAGCCCTTCCCCTGACTGCCCCTGAAAGGTCCCACTTTAAGGATCTTTCAGGCACAATCCCTACGTGAGCCTGTGCCTGCCCTTTGAGCCCGAGCTGCTCTGGGACTGCTCGTTCAGAGCTCTGCTGTGCCCACCGGTGTTTGCCCTCCCCAGAAGCATCTGCCGTCTGACCTGCCTGAGCCCCTGGGCCTCCCGCAAGAATGCAAACTGAAGGCAGGGAGTCAATACTCATTCACTCAGCAGAGGCTCAGACCAAGTACTGCTTTGAGCACGTTTAGGTACTATTCAGGTACTCTTTATTGTTGATACAGCCATAAGCAACATAGATCAAGCCCTTGCTGCTTTGTACTTACATTCTAGTGGGAGGAGAAAGTCAACAAATGAACAAGACTTCTGGTGGTCATTTAATAAATAAAGAAAAAAAGCAAGGTATGGGGTTTCGGGAGTCTGGCTGGAGAGGGACTCTTATTATGGGTTGGGCAAGGGATGCTTCTTTAGTAGGACCACATGGATGCAGAGACCTGAGGGAAGGGAAGGAGGGAGTCATGTAGCTACCTGAGCAAAGAGCACTTCAGCTAGAAGGGACAGCAAGTGCAAAGGCCTGAGGCAGTAGTATGCTTAGCGTGTTTGAGGAGCATCATGGAAACCAGTGGGGCTTGAGTGCTGTGAGGAAGGGAGAGAAGGATGGGAGATGAGGTCAGGAAAGTGGTGGTGGTGATGGGGACAGGAGTGGGACAGGGGTGGGGAGGAACTGCAGCGAGCAGGGCCTCATCTGTCACTGTAAGGACTTTGGCTTTTAGACCGAGTGAAACTGGAGACTTTGGAGCAAAGGAGTGATGTCACCAGCTGAGGCTGGGAGAGGTAAAAAGTAGGGAGAGTCCCTGAGGAAGCTGGGGCCGGTGAGGACGCTCCAGCAGTAATGCAAGCAGAGGAGGATGGTGGCAGTGGCGAGAAGTTCTGATTCTGGCACATTCCAAAGGTGACACAGCAGGATTGGGAGGTGGGATAGGAGAGAATGAGAGGAGTCGAGAGGAAGCCAGGGTTCGGGGCCTAAGCACTGGGATGGTGGAGCTGGTTTACTGAGGAGGGGAGGCTGGAGGAGGAGAGGGGGTTGTGTTTGGGACACGTTCAGTCTGCGATGCATCTTGGACACGCATGTGGTGGTGTCCGGCGAGAGGGGAGATGGGCACCTTGAACTTTGGGGAACAGGCTGGGGCTGGAGGTTTCACAATCGCCACAGTGGCGGTGTTTCATCCTACCTGTTTCTCAGCCTTCCCCCCCACCCCCACCGCCCAGAACAGGGCTGGGTCCAGAACTGGGGGTGCTCAGCACAGTGATGACAGCATCAAAAGTAATCCCCATCTCTGTTTCACGGGCTGTGCTGAGGGTCTCACACGCGTGATCTCGCTCGACCTCCCTATGATCCACGAGGCGGGGCCATCGCAACCCTGGCTTCCAGAGGAGGAAGCCGAGATTCCGAAGGAGCCTCATTCATCTGCCCTCAGAAGGTTCCAGTAGCTGTTCGCCCCCGCCTGCCTGACGAGGCCCAGCACTGACCCCCGCGCCTCCCCCCCTCCCCCCTTGCAGCCTGTGACCAGCTGGCCCTGGGAGTGGTGGCGATCTTCGGGCCGTCCCAGGGCTCTTGCACCAACGCCGTCCAGTCCATCTGCAATGCCCTGGAGGTGCCCCACATCCAGCTGCGCTGGAAACACCACCCGCTGGACAACAAGGACACCTTCTATGTGAACCTCTACCCCGACTACGCCTCCCTCAGCCACGCCATCCTCGACCTCGTCCAGCACCTCAAGTGGCGATCGGCCACCGTGGTCTACGATGACAGTACAGGTGGGTAGCCGGGCCTGGCTGGGCTGAGAGCAGGGGGTGAGAGAGGTAGAGCCCCAGGATCTACTCGCCCAGTGCAGCTGCCCTTGGGGGAGGGGGCACACTCACACCCGAGCCGAGCAGGTCCCCCGGCCACTCGCCCCTGCGCTCCCTCGCAGCCCTGGGCGCGCCAGCCACTCGCCTCTCGCCCGCCCCATACCTTCCCCACACTCCCACCTCCACCCCCCTGTAGCATGCTCATGTCTGCACTCAGCACCCGCACTCCCTCCTGCACAGCCGTGCCCACACCTGCCCCGCTCTCTCAGACTCAACATTCCCGTCTGCAGCGAACGTGGGCAGCTCTGAGCCAGCTACGGGCGCAGGCTCTGGACACACAGGGCTGGGGGGACTGTGCTGACTGTGACACTTACTAGCTGAATAGCACAGAGCTGTTTCCCCTCTTCCTCTTTCTTTCAAAAGACTCAAGTCCCAAGACATTCCTTAGCCTGGCCTCTTAAGAGAGAGTGACCTTGGCAAGTCTCTTAACCCATCTGGCCCTTCTCTGCCCATGTGTCAAGTCAAGATCTATAGCATCCAGCCTGGAAAGAGCCCTCCAGCTCTCTGCAGCCTGTGATTCTATGTCAGCTCTTGATTACCTCCTAATGGGGAGTGGGAATCCTGGGGAGAGAATCCCTCAGAAGAGGTGTCTATTTAACTTGGGATTCTACAAGCATCTATTGCGTTCCTGCTATGCTCACAGTACCAGACAGGAGATCGTGGCGGGCAGAGGCCCCCAACCCCGCTCACTGCCCCCAGCATGAGCTGTCTGCCATTGAGGGGCATGAGTACCCCGTTCCAGGTGACGGCCAGCGTTTTGGCAGCCCTGTTAGATGATCTGTGTTAGGACACTGCTGGGTAGGATTGTGTGGTTTTGAGCCCGCTTCCTTGCCCAGACCATGAGCCTTGTGGGCCTCCAGGATTTAGAACAGGGCCTGGTACAACCTAGATGTTTTTAAATGCTTGTGGAACTGAACTGAATTGAATTGAATTAAAAATCGAGATGAAATAAATTGTAATTAAATATTGCAGGAAGAGAGTGCCGGGCGCTGGTAAGGGAGAAGAAGGAGGATGTGGCGATCCCATCGTTTTTGGAGGAGTGAATCCTAGCGTAGGGACGTGAGCGGGCACCCAGTGGTCACTGGTCATTCCAGGCCACTAGAGCTAAGAATCAAGTGCCGGGTACATACAGTCAGGGCCAAGGCACTCGGGAAGAGGAAGCCCTGCGGCCTTGGCTAATCTGGGCTGACAGAGGAAAAGAGACATGAGCGGGGCCTCGAGGATGGACAGACAGACAGAGCAGGCATGAGGGCAGCACCGGCTGCGGGGACAGCGTGAGCAAAAACTGAGGCGGCGGGATCGCGCGTGGCAGCCTCCTCGAGAGCACGGCCTGGCGGGGGGAGAAGATTCAAGTTCGGAAGGTGGGAGCTAAAGGTCAGAGAAACCGAGCGTATCAGGCTGCGCGAGGGTTCCGCTGTCTGGCTTCAGAGTTCACACTTGACCTTGGAAGCAGCCAAGGCGCATTGAGTGTTGTTGAGCAAAGAAGTGGAATAATGAAAGCAGAGTTCCCGAAGGTGACTGTGACGACATCGCACGGGGCGCATGGCAGGGAAAGGACACACTCGGGGGGTGGCCGCCGATGCAGGCAGGGACAGAGGAGGCCGGGATTGGAGGGGCTGCCTGGAAGAGAACTCGGGGCCAGGATGGAAGGGAAGAACTGGACGTGAGAGTGTGTAGCTGAACACAGAACAGTCAGAAGAGACGCTGGTGTGGACCACGGCCCCGCGGTCCTGGGGCCTCCGGACTGGAGGGGGTGGGGGCAGAGGCTTTGCAGAGGGTGGATGAGGCTGCTCAGAGCTGATGCTACCTTCTGGAGCTCCCTGCTCTCCAGTGCCTTCGCCCTAACCCTACGAGCGCGTCCCTCGATTATTTGCTGGGGTGGCCTGGCATGCCCAGTCGCCTCTGGGTGGACACGCACTCTCCCCCAGCATGATTAGCTTCTCAGAAGAGAAGGGATTCCATCTTCATTTCTTCACCCTTACCAGTGCCTAGAACACCCTTTCTTCCAGGATTTAATTAGAGTTTAATTCAACTTGATTTTCAGTTCGGTTCAATTACATTTAAAAACACAGGGGAGTCCAGGATGGAGCCCGTTTGGTCAAGAACACACTGGGTAGTAGGGATTCAGGGTTGGATTCAGTCAAATAGTAAGATGACTTTGATGAGGACTGGTGGGTGGTAAGAGGCGTACTCCCGGAAGCAGGCTATTTCAAAGGGACAACTAGTGAGTCCTCAACCCCCCTGCCCCCGAGTGGGAAGCACTTCATAGTGGGCTTTGGGGGCTGTGTGCATTCGGATGTTCTGGCTGGGGTCACAGACAACCCAGTTCCCACTGACTCGAGCAATAGGCACTTCGTTCTCTGAAGGACAAGAAGTCTGAAGAGGGGCCATTCCAGGGCTGGCTCAGCAGCTCAACAGAGTCCGGGGCGCTGGGTCGGTATCCCTGCAGTTCTCTTGGTTTTCTCTCTCACAGTCAGAATAGAGCTGCTACAGCTCCAAGCAGCCCATCCTCACGTGCCAACACCCTAGGAAATAGAAGGAAAGAGGCAGGAGCCAAAGAGATTTTTCCTAATGTGACTCCTGCCTCTTATCAAGGAGGAAAATTTGTCTAGAAACCTTCCAGCAGACCGTCCTGGACAGCAGACTGAGTCCGTGCCTACTACCCCAAGCATAGTCAGATAGGAAAGGGAGCGCCCCTGACTGGCTCTTAACCAATCACCAGTCAGCTCTGGGGACTGGCACCAGGCCACCCGAACAAAATCATGGTTCTCTTAGCACGTTAGAAGGGGGCACACCGGTCTCTATAATACTTCTACGTTGATGCTGTGTCTCCAGCCACCCCCCAAAACTTAGTGGCTTCAAATACTACGCATATGTTTAGCTCCCAAGTCTGTGGGCTCACTGATTGGCTGAGCTTGGCCAGGTGGTGGTTCTGGTCTCAGATGGATCGCTCCCCTTCCCCGGGGGTCATTTGACTATTGGTGGAGATGACCGGCAGCATCAGGCTAGCCCAGGCATATTGTCGTGACAGTGGTAGAGGGTGCAAAAGAAGAGACCCAGGGTGCACTTCTGTTTCCACTGTCGAATTGTGGCATGCCTGCTGATACACCATTGGCCAACACAGGTTACGTGCTGGAGCCCAGTGTCCTGAGTGGGGCAGGTCACCTGCCCACAGTTGGAGGTCACTGCAAAGTTACATAGCGAAGGGTGTAGCTACAGGGTGGGGTGAAGAATTCAGGTCATCCCTGCAATCGACTGCAGAGAGAACTCTTTTTAAGTGTGCCTGGGATCCCAGGGGCAAGGATGACTGCGTGATGACACGGAGAGGTCAGTGCCGTTGAGAGTTGTTACAGTTCCCTAGAATCAGGGGGAGCCACAGCCTCATGGAGAAGCACCAGGGTTAGTCAGGAGACAGGAGCAAGAGGAAAGCATGGGCAAGAGCTTTTTTTGTTCTAGAGCCTTCCATTACTTCATGACCATACGATAGCCTAGATGATGATAGGTGGGATTTGTTAGGTGGGCCTGTCCTCTATGGGGCAGGAAGCAAAACACAGATGTTGGGGCTTGATTGGAGGTTTGGTTGGAGGGATTACAATATGATTTTGTGTACCCACCAAAACACAGGGATGACAGGAATGTAAACAACTTTGATCATTAGTTTGGCACATGGTTTCAGGATGCCAGATCATCAGTCAGAGAATATTGCAAATGATTAAATTGCAGGAACCAGCAGTGTTTGCCCTGTGACCTTTGACAAGTGGTCACCTTCGTAACCTAATCTGCGCACAAAGGCAAATTCATGTCAAGAGTGAAAGGAAGGGTCTTAGAAAAAGCTGAGATGGAGAAAAGGGCCGCAGCCTAAGAGCCAGAAGTTTGGGTCTCGAATCTTGATCCCACAGCTAGCGAGCTGCAGAACCTTGAGGTGGCCACTTAACCTCTGTGGGCCTCAGTTTCTTTGTCTGTACATTGGAACAAAAGCCCCTAGTCTACATGCCTTCTAGGACCGGGAGATTTTAAATAGGGTAATGAAAGCAGAAGTGCTTTGTAAGTGAAAAGCAGGATTCTAACAACCATGATTCACTGCAGATATTTTGAGAGAGATTGATTAGGGAAGCAGCCAGGAAGGAAGGCTCATCTCGGGCAAGCCAAGAGCCTCGTCCTCTGCTGGGGTGGGCTGAGACGAGCCTCTGGTCTCCTTTGGGAATACACTGATGAGGAGGAGGTCTGACATTTCCTGCTGGAAAATGTGGGTCACTGTGTATTACACGGGGCAATGCACTTGGCTGACAAGAAGACTCTGGTAGCCTCATGCTCCAGCGTGCAGGCTGTCCCTGTCCTCACGTCCTGGATCCCCAAAGCTCACGTGCCTGCTGATGCCGCGCATGACTCTGAACACTGAGCAAGTGGGAGCAAAGTGAAGGCGGGGAGCCTCCCAGGCTAAGAAGTGTGAGTGGGCAGCATCATTCAGCCCAACTGAGAATTTCTGGGGTGAGTTGGGGAGGGAGGGTAAGGCTGGTGTGTGTTCCAGAAGAGGTTGTGGCCCCTCTCTCCCTTGCGCAGGTCAGCTGATGGCCCCTTCCTCCTCCCTGTCAAGTCTGGTATTGGGAAGCACTGGGGCCCCTGTTAGATCCAGACCCACTCCAGCAGGACTCCAGAGCCCTTCGCCAGCCCATACACCTGGGTCTGAGACCTTCCAGGGGGCTGGGGGATCCTGATGCCGGTGGCCGTGGCAAAGCCTGTTTGGGAGCTCCTTGGGAGGCTTAGGTCACAAGGATATATCTCTGTCCTCCTCAGCAGAGGGGAATGATGTACGCCAGATGGCTTTCCTGATGTCCAGCCCTCCAGAATGGGAAGGAGAAGTTGAACAGATCCAGGCATTTGTATCAGAAATGGCTTTGGAAGCCCAGAGGCTCTGTTGGAAGGCTCTCAAAGTAGGCGGTCTGTGTGGGGGGACTTTGTCCAGAGAGGGGACACGACAATAGTTGATTGCAAGCTTTAATCCAGAGCAAACTGCCTTAACCAAAAAAAGGGGGAGGGAGAGTGGATTTGATTGGCTGCCTTTACTGGCAAGTTTAAGAGTCATTTTAGCTTCAGGTACTGTTTGATCCAGAGGCTCAAATGGGTATCATTCGGACTTATTTGTCCTGACTTCTGCCGTGTTGGAATCCTTCTCCGGTTCTATGTGGTGATGCCTAGATTTGCTTCCTCCCTATTTGGAGGTAAGTGGAAAAGGGTGTATCTCTTACCGGCTGCTCTGGCACCATTTTTGGAAGTCATCTGATAGGACCAACTGGCGTCACCTACCCAGCTCTGAGCCTGTCCCTATGCCTAGAGGAATGTGGGTGCTGATTGGCCAGGCTGGGGCCACATGCTGTGCCCCGAGAGCTGGGGATGGACCCTTTCCAAGTCACACAGTCTGAGTATGGGGGAGGAGTTTCTCCCCAAAGGAGAAGCAGAATGCTCTTTGTGGGGCAATGGAGCATGGCTGAGTGGACAGTGCAGTCAGGACACAGACCCTGAGCCCTGAGTGTGGGCGGGCAGCCCAGTGGGACCCTGGCCCCTGCTGGCTCAGCCCCTCCCTGAGTGGGGAGGGGTATCGAGGGCAGCAAGCAGTCTTGCTCCCAGGCTAAACAGAGGGCAGTCAGCAAGAATGGACCGTGAAATAGCGATGGAAATGAACTTAATTAGACCTAAGTAAGCCATTTGTCTCCAGGAAGTGACATTCAGTTTTCCCTGGAAGTCCCCAGGTTAAGTGGTTTTGCAAAATGCCAAGGTGGAGGATGGATTTTTCAGTGTGGGGAGAAAAAAACAGTAAGTCAATTCAGTTATGGAGATTTGTGTTGTGCATCATCTAAGTGCCAGGCCCCGTGCTAGGGGCTGTGGGGACCCGGCCCATGAGGTTAAGGAGCCCATGGCGGGACGAGGGAGTGAGACAAGGCCAGAGGAGGCTAGTGCTGAGGGAGGAGGCCACGGGGTGGGGAGGGGGTGTCTTGTTTAGACAGAGCAGTAGGGGTAGGCTTCATGGAGGAGGTGATTGCCCGGAGCCTGGAAAAATCGGTCAGGTTTACTGAGGCAGCCTGCCCTTGGGTTGGGGGCACAGCTCCACTTTGTCTTACACGGTCCAACAGTTGGTACAGCTGAACCTCGGAGCCTTCACTTGTGCCCACATCCTGGAGGCAGGTTCCCTGCTTCCCAGTGTCACAGGTGGGGTGATGAAGAGGGGTGCCCTCTGGTTTGGGCTCCGTAAATCTGTAAATGCATTCTAGTTTAGAGGGGAGTGCGTGGGTGTGGGGTCAGTGGGAATTTGCTGTCTGTGCCTACTGTTGAATCTGTATGTGTGTATGTGTGTCTGTGTGTGCACAGGCCTTGATTTACATGTGGAACGAAGCCCAGGCGTGTGTCTGCATCAGCATGCATGCCCCTATAAATATGTGTTTGTATGTGCATACAAATCCATGGGTGTGTGCAGGTGTGTGCAGCCTGGTGCACACAGCTGTACCCGAGCGTTCTGGTGCCTGTGTCTGGACCCACGTGGCTGTGTCCACGCACCTGCCCAGAGCTCCGTGGGCCACGCATCCATGTCTGTGGGTGCGGCCACAGGCCTATGCACACACCCGAGCCCGTGGAGGCCGACAGCTGTGTTTACCTGTGTGCACACGTGTGTCTCTTGCACCCCGGGGCCTCCCAGGGCTCATCCGACTGCAGGAGCTCATCATGGCCCCGTCGAGGTACAACATCCGCCTGAAGATCCGCCAGCTCCCCCTTGACTCCGACGACTCGCGCCCCCTGCTCAAAGAGATGAAGCGGGGCAGGGAATTTCGCATCATCTTCGACTGTAGCCACACCATGGCCGCCCAGATCCTCAAGCAGGTGCGTGAGTGCTGGCCAGCCCGGGGGATGGGGCGATGCAAGGGATGGGCGGGATCTGCCTGCCCCCTCCCCCCACCCCGCACCCCACCAGGAGGTGGCCAGAGCTCAGGTGGAGCCCAGCTCTGTTTCGGTCTGGCGGTTTCTCGGCAGCCGCAGAGTGGACCCAGTGTGGTCTTCAAGGTCTGAGCCAGCGCGAGGGTGGGGTGATGCCAGGGCTGAGCCTAGCCTGGCGCCTGGAGGCTGTTACATCAGTGCTGAGGCTGCGGGTGGGAGGCTGGGGCTGCCGAGAGGGGCCGGAAGCCGCACAGGACAGAACATTACGGGGAGTGCTGGGAGGCCTCGGGGTGGCAGGAACAGGCCCAGGGGGGCCTCACTGGCTCGCCGGTGATGCGTTCCCCATAGCCCGCAGCACTTGCTGTTACTCTCTGGCTACTAGGAGGTTTATTGAAGTTCCCCGCACCATCTGCTCGACTCTGCAGTGACTGTGGGGGAGGGAAATGGCTCTCGGTCCTGGATAGGCCTCTATCCTTTCCAGACACAGCCCAGCATGGCATGCTAGGGACAAGAGCCGTCTCTGCCAGCTACCTAAGAAATAAACAGCAAAATCGCCCACAACCTTCGTGGAGGGTGCCGCAGCTGAAACCCAAACCATTCACATTTGTGCCAGTGCTTTGTGTAAAAGGCAAATTACATGGTCCCAGAAAGCGTCCCTGGTGATTGAACGAGGCCTTCTGTGGAGCTCTAAGTCATGGCCTTGCGAGATGCAGGTGGTGGGGAGGAGACACAGGCAGTGCAGGGGGCTAGCTGCCGAGCCTGGATAGGAGTGTTCAAGTCCCGGAGGGGCTGGGGGTTCCCAAGTCCCACCCTCCAGTCGGGCCCTGCAAGGGGTGCCCAGGCGGCCTGGGAGCCAGTGCCTTCCCCCCAGGAGGTTAAAGAGCTCGCTTGGGGGTTTGAATCTCGCTTCTGCCCTTGGGTGTTGTGTGCCCAAGATCAAGGAGCCCCCGTGTCATCCCCTCCTCTGTAGCCACAGCCAGTGATCCCTACCTTAGCCGGTGGCGGAGGATTCTGTTGAGATGAGGCAAGGAGAGAGTGTAGCCCAGTGTCCGGCACTGGGTTTGGGGTATCTGTGGTGTCACTGTGGAGGAGACTTACGCTCCCCAGAGACCCCTCACCCCTCCTCCCTGGGCGACGGCCAGAGCTTAGCGCTTCCTTTTTCTTCCTGGCACGGGTAACAGAGTAACAAAGACAGCCACAACCCTGGCTGGTCACACTGAGGAGTGACCGTGTGCCGGGTACCCGGAGCCCCTCACTTAGCGCCCCCGGGGCAGGTGGCAACGGCTATCATGCCCAGTTTACAGGTGAGGAAACTGAGGCTCACAGGGAAAGGAAGGGGCCCGAGGTCATCCAGCCAGAAAGAGAGAATTTACTCCCACATCTGCCTGACTTGAAAACTTCCAGAGTTAAGGAGACGGTATGCTCCGCTGAACGCTGAACTCCGCAAAGGTGATCGCGGCTGCTGACAGAGGTCTGGTCTGAGCGTCTAACTTGCTGATGTGGGTTGTGAATCTCTAAGAGGGCGAGAGAATGAGCGGCACTTTCCAAATGTACCTGACCCCGGGGTATTTCTCCTCCAGAGCACTTAGGGGGCCCGGCATTCTGAAGAACTCTGTGGAAAGTGCATTATGGTCGTTAATATTATAGATTATAGGTTTCTAATAAAATATGTAAATGAAGGTAATGCAGGGTTCGTGATGATACATAGCATAATGTATCATCATAGTAATTACATAGTATTAATTCCATAGCAGCCGAGCAGCCTGCCTGGTGGTCAGTTGGACCAGGGAAGCCAGGCTGTCTCCACCTCCAGGGAGGCTCAGCCCAAGCAAAGCCTCTCCTCCTCGGGCCTGGCTGGGCTGGGGAGGGCTGGGCTTCCGCACACCTCTCTCTGGAGCCAGGACAGAAGGCAGTCTGGGGCTAACTCCAACAGCATTTCTCTAAGTGTGACAGGCCTGGAGATGTTCACGGAAAAGCCAGACAACTGGGCCCAGCCTGGCCCTGCGGAATTTGGAATCTTTGCATGCAGAGTATGGCCCAAGATTCTGCATTTTTTTAAAAGATTTTATTTATTTATTTATTTGAGAGAGAGAGACAGTGAGAGAGCATAGGGAGAGGGACAAGCAGACTCTGCTGAGTCGGGTGCGCAATGCGGGGACTCGATCCCAGGACCCCAGGATCCTGATCTGAGCCAAAGGCAGGTGCCTAACTGACTGATCCACCCAGGCACCCCAAGATTCTGCATTTGAATCTGTCCCGGGTGACTTGGCTGCACACTCCAGTGCAAAACGCACTATCATCTGCTAGCCAGTCATTGTTACTTCGGGGAGGTGGTCTCGAGGACATCCCACTCCAAGTGGCCCACCTCCTCCGAACCCCCGCCAGTCTGGTCCTCCCTGCTGGGGTGCAGATGGGGAGGGGGCTTCTCGGGTACCCCCTGTGGACTGATGATGCTCTGCTCTCCCGCAGGCCATGGCCATGGGCATGATGACCGAATACTACCACTTCATCTTCACCACGCTGGTAACGTACCTCTGGGTCCTGGCACGGGTCAGGGTGGGTCCCCTCAGAACAAGGTCAGCCAGGTGGGGACCGTTGCGGCAGCTGGAGGAGACTCAGGCTGGCCTTGCTTCCTAAGGCTGTAGGTGTGGCCCCAGGCAAGGGCCCAGAGACATCTTCGTGGCCCGCCCACGTTGAGAAATGTCCTCGAGTTGTGACTCAGGGCAGTGAGTCTAGACCTACCTGTGTCAACACAAGCCCCTCTGATGAGTAGCCAGTCATTAACCTCCCTGCCTCAGTCTCTTCGTCTGCAAAATGGGTACGATAATAGCTTCTACCTCCTAGAATTATGAGCTCAGAAAGTACAATGCTGAGAGCAGTGCCTGATTTGTGTGAAGACCGATGCAAGTATTAGCTGCTCTTATTAAGATGACCCTCAGCTCCCAGCCCACACGCTTCCCCACGGATGTCTCAGTCCTCACGCAACAACAGGAAATGCTGCTTTGGATTCCTGCAGCATCCGTGCTGAAGTCTGCCCACTCTCTGTCAGCTGGGCCAGCCCACCTGCGGGCTCCAGATGGGTCCTGTCCAAACTCAGAGAACATTTAGGGCCATTTAAACCCATTAGGATAATTAGTTGTGGCCTGAAATCAGCAGAATGAAGAGATCCTTGTGCCAAAGGGGCACCCACACACAGCCTCCCTGCCCTGGAGCAGACGTTCTAGCGCTTCGCTGGGGCCCTGGGTGGACTCTTCCACTCAGCCCGGTTCTGGGGCACTGATTTCCTGGCCATGAAACAGGCTCCCGCTCTCCTCGTCAGCCTTGCTCCAGCCCAACAGGCTTCTGCGTTCCCTCATCCATCTGGCACCCAGGTAACCCTCCTTCCCCAGCGCCTGGACTCCGGTGAGGGTCTCATGATGCCTGGCACGGAGGCCCCTCCCTCGAGGAGCTCCCGTCCTGTGTGGTCCGCACCTCCACGTCTAGCTCCTTCGCAGGTGTGTGCCATCCCAGGCCTGGACACGTGGCCGTGGCACACAGTGGAAGGAGACACCCGATGTGGAGGGGTTGGCAGAAGGTAATTTGAGGCAGGAAGGCAGATGCTTAAACAGGACCTTGAAGCATCAGTAGGAGTTCACCAAGGAGAGAGAGGAAGAGTATTCTACATAGATGGAACAGCATAACCAAAGGCCAAGAGGCAGGTTAGCTCTTCACTGGAGAGCTGAGGCTGGCTCAATCTGACTGATTGCTAGAGCCCATTACAGTCATCTGCTCCCAAATCCACGTTCAGTGATAGTGCGGAGGTAGCTTGGGAGTCGGCCTTGGTGGAAAGAATATTCATACCACAGAAGTTGGCAAATACTACAAATAAGGGTTTGTAACCTCCCCTCCACCGAGAGCTGGTTACTAAGCATTTACCAGCACACCGCTCTTTCTTCCACACCCACTGTACTCTGTGCCCTTGGCAGAGCTCCTGATCCAGGGCTCAGATCTGGGCATCTGCTGGGAGTCATGTTGGGAGAAAAGGATTCTGGAAGCTGGTGACTGAGATTGGGCACCTTCTTCCCCAAGTCCCTTCTGGATTTCTATACACCCAAGCTGACTTTTCCATGTCGTGTTATATCCTAGAAAGTCATTGGAGGCTGGAGGATGAGGCCGCCAGATCTCCCATATTCCACCTCTGTTTGGAGCTGCGATCAGGGCAGAGGAGGAAGGCCGGGAAGGTGTAGTGGGGCACATTCATGGGCCCAAGGCCCTGTCCCTGCCATGGCAGCCCTGTCCATCCCATCCTGGGCATCTAGGGTGCTGAGACCAACTTCTGGGCCCTTAGCCCAGTGGCCTGGCTCGACCTTTCAGGCAAAGCTCTAGAGAAGGGACCTCCCTAGTGACCCCATGTTGTTCTCACTAATGCCATTGCCTTCCTGGGGTCAAGATTAGAGGTCTTGGAGGGAAGCTCAGGGCAGGATCCTAGTGTTGTGGGTTGTCCTGCAGCCCTAGACAGGATCCACTTCTCTTACTTTTTCATTTCCTTATTCAGGCATCCATTTACTCACTTCCGGCAGCCACGTACAGATGCTCTCAAGGCCCCGGGTTCTGCGCTAGGTGCTTGGGTGGGAGAGAGTATGCAGAGACGGATCCACACAAAGCTCACCAGTTGGCAGGCTTCCTTCATGCATATAAGGATCAAGGACTGTGCCCAATTCACCTGCCCATCTCTGGTGCCCAAAGAGTGCCTGGCATGCAGTAGGTGCTCATTAATGCTTGGATGAGTGAATGACTACCATACAAAGTAGAAGGTAATCCGTGAAGTTATCAACACCCTTGTCATGGCAACAGTTAAGACCAAGGACTCTGGTGCCAGCCTGCCTGAGTTAGAGTCGAGATCCTTCCACTTCCTGGGCAAGTTATTTCAACCTCTCTGGACCTCCTTTTTCCATCTACAAAATGGCCACAGTGACAGCGCTACCTCATAGCACTGTTAGGCTGAGCGTGCTCTATGTCGAGTGCCTGATGTTTATTGAAGTAGTAGGTAAGAGTTCAGTGGATGGAGTACCTCTTGCTTACGTCTTCCGTGTATTCAGCATACGTCATCTCATCCACAAATTCAGAATGCCTCTCCAAGGGAGGTATGATCTCCCAGCTTTACAGGAAAAGTAGAAACTGAGGCTCGAGAGGTCACCCGGCAAGAAAGGGGCAGAAGGAGGATTTTTACCAGCTGGAAGCTGTCCAGCTCCGGAGGCCTCTGCTGGGAGCTGTCACGCTGAAAGCCCGCACGAGGCAGTGGCTGGCCTCCTCTGGCCACACGCGGCATCGATGGTCCAGATGCGGTGATTGACACGAATGGGGGGAATGGAGCCTCCACAAATCTCAGCAGGGCCCACTCTTCACGGGTTCCAAAGCCCTTTCTCCACATTGCTGCTTTACCTCTTCACAGGGCAGGGGTTTTGCTCCCCGTTGATAAATGGGCAAACCTGGGACCAGAGAGGTTGAGTGACTTGCCCAGAGTCTCCCAGCAGATCAGGGGTAGAGGCCTTGGCTCCTGACTGCCGGTCTTGTGCATGGCTGTCCCAGCCCCCTGCCCGTCCTCCTCCCCGTGCCTCTCTGAGGGTCCGGGAGAGTGACTGCCCAGGGAGGCACAACCCTTACACACGAACAGCTCCGCAGTCTGCAAGGGAGTAGGTGTGTCGGCGTGTGTCGGCGGGGAACGGGTCCACCAGCATCTCTCCCAGCTGCCCCCTCGCCGCCTGCCTGCCTGGGCAGCAGCTGCGTGTCCCTTGGACCCTCCACTCCAGCCCGTGTCCCACTTCGGCCTCGGCTCCCACTCCGCGATCCTCCTTCCAGCCCCCGTGGGCTTCAGAGTTTACCTCGTGATCCTGCCTCTTCACGCCCGTTGGTCAGTCGAGGCTGTATTTCGGGAGTCCGGTGGCATCTGGCATTTATTTGCTTCCCTTTCGGAAACCCACGTCACCAATGCTTCGCTGCTAAAAAATTCTCCGAACTTGCTGCTTTCACGCAGTAGACATTTTAATTACCCCAGTGGCCATAATCAGCTCCAGCCAGCTTCAAGCCCTTCCCAGATAACCCGCGTTACTCAGCCCCAGCTGAGCCCCTGGTGCATGTCATGTGTAGGTAAAAGCCTGGAGGTGAAAAAAGAATTATAATAAATTAATAGATAAGCAATCACAATTAATGCCACTTCCCAGCAATAACAGTTATATCATGGGAAAGATATTTTCATCTGTCATTCCTTAAGGCAATGTTTTCCGAGCTTCAGCTTCTACCCAGTCAGACCCATGGGGTGCTAATGAATTAGTCTATTATGTTATGCTGAATGTTTCTAAAAGGTCCCTCGTCGATACTGAATTCAGTGTGTCAACATTTGGCATCAAGAACAGCAACTTTTTGCCAAGCGGCAAGGTTGCCCGTGGTTCACTGTGTACGGCGCTTGGGGTCTCCGCCCAGGGCAGCGCGGATACAGAAGCGGAGCTGGACAAAGAGGCCTCTTTAGCAGCTCCCGTCATCCCTGCCCTCGTGTCACGGGAGTGGGGACGCTTGGTGCCGCAAGCCCTACAACACTTTGCGCCCCAGGCTTAGTATGACAGGGAAGGAGGTGACCCCAGCAGTGACACCCCATCACCCCCACCGGGTTGGAATGGCTGCGGCCACCCTGTGAGTGTCAACAGAACACATGCTACGTCTAGAGACCGGAAGGGCTGATGTCACCAGCCCCCAAGCCGCCCACCAGGGCCAGGGATGCCACCCTTCCCACTGAGTCCAGTTGGCCTCTGGTCCTAGAGGAGGGTGAACCGAGTCATGGACGCCCTGGGCACGCTGATGCTTTGGCATCTTTCAGGCCTTAGGTAGTAAGTCAGCACTGTATTGGAGAGGAGGCTGGGCCCCGTGCTGGGGTGGAGTGAGGGGGGCGTCCCCTGGGGGCAGAGGTCAACTTCTCTTCGATGGCCCTGGCAGTGAGCTCCAGCCCCAAATTCACATTCTCCATCCTGCAAAACAAAACTGTTCCACCTCCCCTCACCTGCCTTCTCCAAAGGCGATTTGGGGGAAGATCGCTTGATACTAAAGCAGGCCCCTTAAGGGTCTCACTCTCCCACCCCGCCCCCAAGGCAATTTACCAAACCCTTCCTAGCCTCCAGCTTCATTGAGAGCTCCCCCGAGAGGAGAAGGTGAAACACTAGTCTCCCATCCCAGGCCCTTCCCAGCGCTGTTTAGGCGCCCCAGAGAGCTACTCGGCTGGCTGACCCTTCTTTCCACTTTGGGTGACAGGGGTGTTTGGCTCAGTGGGGGTGAAAGCCAAGAGGTCCCAGGATGAAAGCAGAAGCCCCCCCCCGACCCACCCTGTTGTGCATGTGTAAAGGAGTAGTCAGGGGAGGCTTCCCAGAAGAGGTGCCACTTGAATTGAATCTCAGAGAATAGCCCACCCAAGAGGGTTGAGAAGAGAGACAGTCCAGCCAGAGGCTAGAAGATGCGCAAATGCTGGCATAGGATGAGAAGCTGTGTGATGGGGGCAGGGGCAGGCGTCAGTGAGGAAGGGAGAAGGGGAAAGTGGTTTGGTTCCTGAAACAAACATGGGAGGGGGTGGGAAGAAAAGTGGGGCTGGAGGGCGGTGGAGAGCTTTGTAGACTAAACTAAGGAACTTGCACTTTGTTCTGAGAAGGCAGTAAGGATTTATAAACACGGGAGTGACAGGGTTGGATTGATTGATCCTTCCGAGAAACCCCTCTGAATGCTGTGTGGACTGCAGGCTGGTCACGGGACAGGGGGCGCTTGGGAGCTGGACTGCCTGGGTTGGACTCCAATTCTCCACAGGTTAGCTGTGAAGCTTAACCTCTCTGTGACTCAGTTCCTTCCTCCGAAATGGGTGATAGTAACACCCTCCTTGGATAAGGTGGAAATGAGAATTCAGCGAGTTAATGCACAAAAGGCACTTAGAACGCGGCCTGCTGCTCCGAGGTTCACAGGAGCTCATAGCTGTTGGCTCATCGTGATTGTTCCTATATTGCCAAGACGGGTAAGGCAGGAAGGACCCAACGCCTCTCTGCTCCTCTCCTCTGACACCCGGGCATGTCTCTGGGGCCGTATCCCATGACTATCACAACCTGCTGCCAGAGAATATTGGTCAAACACTTACCTATGTCAACCATGCACCAGACGTGCTCTGTGCACATCCATGAACCCACTTCTTCCTCATGACAACCCCCCCCCGCTAGGTCCTGTTATCATCGCCTACATTTGGCAGCTGAACCCACCTGAGGTAAGGAGGGTAGATGCACCTGGAACCCAGATGGCCTGGCTTCGCAGTCTGTGCCCCCGAGCTTTGCCGGGGCTGTCTCCGTGCGCCGCGCTCGGGAAGGCGCTGTGGGGAGAGAGGCCTCCTTCTGGGCATGCCCTCCCCACGCCCCTCCGCTCCTCTGATTCCACACGTGTCCCCAGCTCAGCCCCGTCAGGAGTCATGACTTAGATGAGGGGCTTCTCAAATCACAGAGTTGCCAGGCCGCACCCCAGACTCTCCATGGCCTATACTCCCCAAAACAGCTCCAAAGACAGTTTGGGTGCATATCGCGTGTTTGGCAACCACTGGGGCATAAAGCACAGGTATTTTCGAATAAGACAGACGGCGGTGTACCACCCGCTGTCCAAGTGTGTGGGAGGGAAACCCTGGATTTGGAATGCTTCTGATTTCCATGGTGTAAATACTCCCCCCGCAGCTGGTATCGGGCGACCAGTGTGAGGTGACTGGAGGCAGGAAGAAGTGCCAAGTGCTAACAGTTAGCTCCCACAAGCCAGCGCGAGCCAGCTCCAACACCCCACTGAAACAGGCCTGGGTACATATTTTGCTCTGCCTTTTTTGAGCTTTATGACCTCAGGCAGGTCACTTCATGCCCCTGACCCTGTTTCCTCATCTGTAGAAGGAACACACTGTCAGGATGGGGTGGTATCCTCCATGTGCAGGGCTGAGGGCAGTACCCACACTCCACTCCCCACTGAGACTGGGGCAGGCACCATCTGGCCCACTCAGTGAGACCCCCTCATCTGCTGACGACCCCACCTCCTGCTCCCACCCAGCCCCTTCCCCATCCCAAGTCCTGGCCTAGAATCAGCACCCTAGTTGTTTAGGTAAAGCTAGGACTAAATTTTCTTGCCCGGGGTTCAAGTCTGCTCCAGATCTCTCCCCAACATCCTACTCCCTAAACTTTCAAAGAGGAAGCCAACACCATGCATTCCAGAAGGAGCCCATTTTGAGTGTGCAGCAGGAGTAGGAAGAATTTAGCATCAATCGGGAATATGTGAGAGACCAAAGGAAGCCAGCACCATGCGGAAGAGCTGCTCCGTGGGCTCATCATTCCTCGAGCCGCCATCGAGTTCATGGAAGCTTGGACTATTATGGGCTGGGTCTTTTAGTCCCAGTGACTGCAGCCGTGCAGAGAACAGTACAGCCCATGGGCTGTCCTGCCTCTCTCCCAGCACAGGATGGAGCATATGAGTTGAGGGACCCAGGAAAAAGGATGGACCAGAGGCTGGGACAGAAGACAGCTTGATGAGGGTAGAGCATAGAAAAGAATAGACAGTTGACCAGGAGGACCTTAGGACTCAGTTTCCCAAACCACTAGTAGGAAGGGGCCAATCTAGATCATCATATGTTTTCCCAAAAAGTAAAAAAGTGACTCATGCAAATATAGGATGAACATGTGTCAAAGACGTATTCAGTTCGTTAACAAGGGAGCAATAGGATGGTACCGCTGGCTCAGAGAGCTTTGGAGGGATTGAATTTTTATTGGGAGGGAAAAACACCGAATAAGACTGCTCAGTTAGTTACAAAATGGATTAATGTCCTGCAAGGGTAATAAGCCACCACAGTGGGTTTTATCTTTTCAACGGGCAACAATCTCCAAGTTTACCCAGAGTCTGGGCTTCAACCAGTGGCTGACGGTGAAGTCAGACCTGGGCGTGTTCTCCCAGAGAATCACACAGTGCAGGGCAGGCCTGGTAAGGGACGCTTCCGTACTACATTGACCAGAGATGCTGCTCTCCTTCTGCCTCATTTGCAAGCTTGGGAGTTTTTTGTTTTGTTTTGTTTTGTTTTTTAAAGATCTTATTTATTTGTTTGACAGAGAGATAGCAAGAGCAGGAACACAAGCAGGGGGAGTGGGAGAGGTAGAAGCAGGCTTCCCGATGAGCAGGGAGCCCAATGTGGTGCTTAATCCCAGGACTCTGTGATCATGACCTGAGCTGAAGGCAGATGTCCAACGACTGAGCCACACAGGCGCCCCATTGGGGAGTTTTTCTTAACAGGAGGGAGCTCTGCTCTGCTCCTCCTAGGTTACCACCCCCTACCTCTTCAATGCTGCCACTTCTTCCTAGCTTAGCACCTGGCTTCTCCCTCCGTGCACACACCCCACCCACTCCCTCTCTGCCTCCTTGCCCTACCGGCTCCCCTTGCCCCAGAGCTGGAGCTGCAGAGGGGCTGGTGATGTCAGAGGTGAGGGGAGAGAAGAAGGCAGTGGTATTCCTTGAGTTCCAAGCAGAAAGACTATTTTTTTTATTGAATTATAATTGACCTACAGTATTATGTTCATTTCAGGGGTACAAGATAGCCAATCAGTATTTTTATACATTACAAAATGATCCCCACAAAAGCTTTGGTTATCTGTCACCATACAAAGTGATTACTGAGCGGTTGACTGCGTTCTCTATGCCCATTACATCCCCATGACTTACTTATTTTATAACTGGAAGTTTGTACCTCTTAATCCCCTTGACCTATCTTGCCCATCCCCCCATCCCTCTCCCTTCTGGCATCCACCAGTTTGTTCTCTGTATTTATGAGTTTGTTTTGTTTTTTTAGATTCTATATATAAGTGAAATCCTCCGGTATTTGTCTTTCTCTGTCTGACTTCACTTAGCATAATGTCTTCTGGGTCTATCCACAGTGTTACAAAATGGCAGGATGTCCTTCTCTCTTATGGCTGAGTTACATTCCTTTGTATGTATACACTGCATCTTCTTTATCCGTTCATCTAGCGACAGACACTTGGGCTGGTTCCATATCTTCTCTTGTAAACAATGCTGTAGTGAACATAGGAGTGCACCTCTGTTTTCAAATTAGTTTTTCTGTTTTCTTCAAATAAATACCCAGAAGTGGAATTGCGAGATCATAGGGTAGTTCTATTTTTAATTCTTTGAGGAGACTCCGTACTGTCTTCCAGAGCGGCTACACCGGTTTGCATTCCCACCACCAGCACGCAAGGGTTCCTTCTCCACATCCTCGCCAACACTTGTGATGTCTTTTTGATTTTAGCCATTCTGACAGGTGGGAGGTGATTGCTTCTTGTGGTTTTGATTGGCGTTTCCTTGATGATGAGGGATGCTGAGTATCTTTTCAAGTACTTCTCCCTTTCAGCCTATTCATTTTGTTGATGGTTTCCTTCACTGTGCAAAAGCTAGAAAAAAATATTTTAAAATAGTCTTTTTGGGGGCGGGGGATGCAACAACTCCCTTCAGCTTCCCTTGGAGATGCCCAGGCCCAGTGCTCTTTGTCCTCCCAAAGTGGGCACCCCCGTCATTGGAAATGACCATTATGACCATTATCAAGATCGTCTGGTGTTCTGGGCCAGGCCTTTCGTGTGAACCGCTGCACCGGTCCTATAAAGGAGGCAAGAGCCCCATTTTGTAGACGGAGAATCCAGCTGAGCCACATGCAGGAGGTCCAGCGGCGAGTCGATGAGGTCAGCCACCAGGTGGAGGGCGTTCCAGCTGATCCCCCGTCTGGTGCTCCTGGGGGTACTTTACCACCACCGCCGAGCCTCACCTCGTGCAGGGCAGGGCTCTGCAGGGAGTTGCCGCCTTGGGCTCCTGGTGCTCAGAGAAGGGCATGTGGGGCAGTGGTGGCCTGGGGGAGGGGTGGCTGGAGTTTACAGCAGGCCACACCTTTATTTACTTGAGCCTCTTTCTGTCAAGGATCTGTATGCGTTAGACCTGGAGCCCTACCGCTACTCAGGGGTGAACCTGACGGGGTTCCGGATCCTCAACGTGGACAACCCGCACGTCTCGGCCATCGTGGAGAAGTGGTCCATGGAGCGGCTGCAGGCAGCTCCCCGGGCAGAGTCCGGCCTGTTGGATGGCGTGATGATGGTATCCCAGCCAGGCGGGCCAAATCCAGGGGCACCCTTTCCTCGGCAGCCCCCCTTCCCTCTTCTGTCCTCTCTTCCCTACTTCCTCCCTATCTCTTTCTTCCCTCCCACCACTTCCCTTCCTAAGACCTGCTCTGGATCAGCCAGACCTTAGGCTGGGCCCTGAGAACACAAGGAATCAGACACAGCCCCACCCCCACCCCCAAAGGAGGCTTGTAAACAGGTTGTTACAGAGTCTGGGGGTAAGGACCCGTGGGTCCTGGGCACAGAGGACTTTGAGCTGTAACCAGCTGGAGCCTAGGGAGGCAGGAAAGGAGAAGGTGGGACAGGGCCTAGGAGAACGGGAGCGATGGGTTGAGGAAGGAGGGCCTAGAAGGAGAAGGTCTGAACTGCAGAGAGGGTGGGAGCTGGGTGTCTGCTGAACAGCAGGAGCGCCCAAGCCCGGCCTTCATGGAGGGCATGGACAGGGTCACCCTGGGCCTTTCCCTTGTCAGGACCCCATATGCCTGGTGGGGGAGGGGCAGCAGCTTGGGCTCAGGACCCTCAGGGCTGGGGAGCTGCTCTCAGGCCCTGCGCCCTCTCCTCCAGACTGACGCGGCCTTGCTGTACGACGCCGTCCACATCGTGTCCGTGTGCTACCAGAGGGCCCCGCAGATGACCGTGAACTCCCTGCAGTGCCATCGGCACAAGGCCTGGCGCTTTGGCGGCCGCTTCATGAACTTCATCAAGGAGGTGAGTATTCCCCTGCCGTCACCCCCCAGGGCCTCCTCCCTGGGGGTCTTCGGTGCTGCAGAGCAAAGGCACGGGTGTGGGAGGCAGGCAGAATCGATTTCCAGTCCACACGAACCTGGGCACATGGGTTCACATCTCTGAGCTTCCGTTTCCTTGGGTGAAAATGGGCTGGATGGGACCCATCTCACAGGGCGATTGAGAGGGCTATGGCCCTGGAGCCTAGGAGGTTCTCCGTGGGCGGTCCGAGTTGTCAGCAGGACCTGCGTGGGCTTTCCAGTGCGGCAGATGAGGGTCTCTGCCCCTGGCTGTGTGACCTTGGGCAAGCTGGAGAACCTTGCTGAGCCTTGGCTGCCTCATCTGCAAAATGCGGTCCAAAGCATGCCGCCTGAGAGGGTTGCCAGGCAGCTGAGACGAGACCCCTGGGTGGAAAGGGCTCAGGGCAATGGCGGGGCAGTGGAGGCTGGTCGGATAATCAGCCCTCCGAACTCCTCTTCACATCCCGGGTCCTCTGGGCCCTGGCTCTGCTGGCTCCGAGGTGGTTGTGAAGTTCCATCCGTGGGGCTGATTCAGAGGAAACAGGAACAGAAATCTGTCCTGCTGCGAGATGGCCATTGACACTCACAGTGCCAACCGATAATTCTGAAGGACTCTCCATCATCCTTGTCCTTGTAAGCTGCGGACGGCTCTTCACCGCTCCCATTTTACAGGCTGGGGAAGCTAAGGCCAGGGCCAAGCATCCTGGCAACACCGGGATGAGCTATGCGACTTTGGGTGAGAGGATTAACATTTTGATTCTCAGTTTCCTTGACTGTAAAATGGGCATAAAGAGTACCTGCCTCAGTGTTGTTGAGAAGACGGTGTGCAAACTGTACACGGAGCATCTCACCCAGGATGTGGGCAGAGTCAAATCCTAGTAAATGGTGGATGAAGAAGGCTCGGGGAGAAGATCGGGGAGGGTTATCCTGGGTCGGAGGGAGAGACCATGTCCAGGCGACTCCAGGTGCCGTCGAGAGAAGCCCTCAAGGAGGGTTGTAGAATGATCTCTCCGTGGCAACCACACTGGACCAAGGTGAGGCAGGCTACCTTGAGCGTTCAGTTATTCAGCAGCTAGTTGTGGGCCTGCTGGGCACCAGGCCCTGGGATCCAGTGGGGCTGAGATGGACGAGCCCCTGCGTTCACCAAGCTCACAGCCCAGGGAAGGAGCAGACATGAATCGAGTCCTCGCATTCAGGGATGTAATCCCACGTGCAAAGGAAGGCAGCTCCAGGGGGGGTATATAGCAAAGAGACCCACCACCTTATATGCAGCAGCCAGGGTGGCTTTCCCCAAGGGCTGACGTCCCCCCCTTGCTGCTTGGGAAGGGCGCTAAAAGGAATGGGGATGGGACATGGTCTGTAGAGTTTGACGCTCGTGCCCGTGGAGCTCGTCTCTGCCTCTCCCAGCTGTGTGGCTTCACACGTGTTCCTAGACAGCCCCGAGCATCCGTTTCCTCACCTGGCAAACACCCTCTTGCCATCGTGGTGAGGGAGGCATGAAGTCCTTGGCACCAGCTCCCCTCACGCCCAGCAGGGGCTCCATCCGGTGTCAGTGGTGTTGGCAGAAGAGGACCGTGATGGTCCCTTCTCATCCAGCCCCTCAAAACTGCAGAGGAAGGCTGATTGTCCAGTGCCCTGAGCAGGCCTGGTTAGCCTGGGAGATCACCCGCTTGTCTCCTGGGAGCGCTGAGGCCTGACTCCTAGCCCCTGGTGCCTCCTTCCTGGGCAGGCCTCTGATGGAGGGGCCAGAGGCCCCTCTGAGGGGATCAGTGACCCAAGCCACAACCCCGGGCCCCTTAGGAGCCACACAAAAATGCCTTTGAAGCTTCACCTATTTTATTTATTTATTTTTATTTTATTTTTTTAAAGATTTTATTTATTTATTTGACAGAGAGAGACACAGCGAGAGAGGGAACACAAGCAGGGGGAGTGGGAGAGGGAGAAGCAGCCTTCCCGCTGAGCAGGGAGCCCGATGCGGGGCTCGATCCCAGGACCCTGGGATCATGACCCGAGCGGAAGGCAGACGCTTAACGACTGAGCCACCCAGGCGCCCCTGAAGCTTCACCTATTTTTTAGCTGTGTGACCTTCGACAAGCTGCTGAACCTTTCTGCGCCTCTGGTCTGCCTCTATACTCTGGAGATTTTCCTAGGGCTGTCGCAGGATGAAGCGAGTTAGGGTGTGTGTGAGCACTTAGGCCAGAGCCGAGCGCAGAGCAGATGCCCAACAGAGGGGTACCGTTATGTTGTCTCTGTCGTCACTGTGGCTTCTTATTCCCTGGTGGGTTTCCAGCTAACGAGTATCCCTGGGCCACATAGCTTCGGGGACCCTCACCCTGCTTACCCCTCACCCCTTGGAATTTTTGAGGCTCAGTCTGCGGCCTGAGGGGAGCAGGTTTGTCACTGCCCACACCAGAGGAAGGGGCCCCTTTCTCCCTCTCGGGGCTGACCGGCCCGCTTTGGTGTACCTCCTCTTTCCCGGCCGCCGGCCCAGTGAGTGGCCCTCAGCACTCACGCTCTTTACAGCACCCCTTCAGGGACATCTTCGTGACACCTGCACCTTAGGGCGGTGGACACGGAGGCCCAGAGCAGCCATGTGGCTTGCCCACAGTGCCGCAGCTGCCCGAGCCTGGGACCCAAGTGCCCTGCTTGAGCCCAGCACACCGTCTTCCCTCAGACCATTTCCGAGTTGCCCGTCTCCCCCATCTGACTGCGTGACAGTAAATCATTTAAAGACTTGGCATTTCCGAGAGGAGCTGGAAAATACCAGGCCGGAGTTCAGAGCGTGTGAAGCATCTTTCATTTAGCGAGTCTGGAGCCGTGGCTGGAAGGGGCGGGCAGGCCGGGAAATGTCACAGGGAGGGGCTGTCCCCGGCTCCCTGCCCTGCCCTGGCCCTGCCCACCCACCCGGGGCCCACAGGCAGTCCGGGCCCCTGCTGGCATTTGCTTCCTCTATAGCTGACAAGGGGGAAGGCTTGGCTCCGAAGGAAGGCTTGAAGGCATCTGCTGCGATTTCCCCTGGGGGCCAGGAGAGAGCCTGAGGGTACAGAGGAGGGGGAGCTGGCCAGAGCTGAGCCTCTCTGTGAAGCCATAAACAGTGGTCTTCACCTTCTCTGATCTTTTCATCTCTCTCCGCAACCCCGTTTCCGGCCCCCTGGGCTCTAGAAGCCTCTCCCACAGAACTTGGTCCTGGTGAGGCCAAGCTCTTCAGCTCTGTTCCTGCAGACCGGGCTTCGGCCCTGCACCACCATGATACGGGATTTGTATATGGCTCAGCCTCTCTTTGAGCCTCAATGTCTATGACCCTAACATGGGGGCGACAATGACACCCACCTAGCAGGATTGTCATGAGACAAAATCAGTGCATTCAGGGAAGGAGGTTAGCCTTCTATGACAGGATTTCTACTGAGGCCTCGGGCCCTGGCCCAAGGGACCAGCCCTAGTCCAAGGGAGCTCCATGGAAGGAAGCAACAAAGGAGTACTAATAATATAGACCACTTAGTCGGGGCGGTGTAGGCCAGGCACTTGCTAAACACTTTTTACATCCTTTTTAACACTTTTTTAACACTGAGGAAACAGGTCATTTTCCCCTTCCCGAAGCTCGGAGAGGTTAGATGATCACTTTCTGTCCAACTCCTTTTAACAGCCTCCCGGACCCCTTCCAGGCCTCACCCCTCTGCCTGAGTTAGTCTACCTAGCTGCTCCCCCCTGCACACTTCCCACGATGCCTTAGAGCTGCCCAAGTGTTTGGACAGCCCCTCGGGTGTCACTGTGGCCTCCAGGGATCCATGATCCCATGAACTTGGGTGCCACACTGTGAGCGTAAGCATGAGTGTCAGTGGCGTTGGGCCAGGGAGAGGCCCCGGAACCTTTTTCAGAACCTCCAGGGGATCCTGACCCCAGTGTGGCAAAGCAACGACCGTGATATTCAGGCCTCCCCCCTCCACATGCTCTGGCGCCCCCTTCACCAACCCTGTCAACCCGCAGCTCCCCCTGGTTCCCAAGGACTCCAGGTTTGTTCTCCCAGACTCAGAAAGCTGGTGGCATTGGGGCGTTCACCTGGGTGCCCGCGGCCTCCTACCTCCACGGAGGAGGGAGAGAAAGGGCATAGCCCCAGCCCGGGTGCTGGGACCCTGGGACCCGAGCGGCAGGGTGGGCTCTCATCCACTTGGTGAGCTTGGGGGATGTGCTGGCCCCAGGGGGGCCTGCCTCCTTGTCTGTGAAATGGGGATGGCGACCTCACCTGGCCCCCCCCCCCCCGCCAGGGCGGCAGGTTACATGCTCGGAGCAGCGGGAAGTACTTCGTAGGTATCCTCTGGGCCCCCAGGAAGGGTATCTTCTAGAAAGGAGTTGGCAAATCTTCTCTGCCACAGGCGGGAGAGTGACTATTTAGGCTTTGTGGGCCAGATGGTCTCTTTGTAACTATTCAGGCCCGCAGGCACTGGGCCAGAGAAGCCAAAGACACTAAGTAAACACATGGGTGTGACCGCGTTCTCATCCACTGTTCACAGAAACAGGCCGCAGGGGAGTTGGGGCCGCCAGCCGTGGATTGCCCATCCCTGATCTGGAAGAGTGCGGCTCTTCTCAGCTCGGGTCCGGGGTATTCTCTGAACCCCGGCCTTTCTGTGCTAGCCATGTTAATGGCAATAAAAGATCACAAAAGCTGGCATTTGTTCAGGGCTTGGGTATGTACCGTGCACCATCCTAAGTATTTTATGGGATTTATCTCATTCCACCCTCGTGGCATTTTGGTACTATTACAAATTCCATTTTGTAGAGGAGGAACCTGAGACAGAGAGGTGAAGTGGAATCCCCCAGGTGGCACAGCTAACTGCGGTTGGACCCGGGCCTTCTGACCCCCGCGTTCTTAACCACGACCCCATGGAGCCGGGGCCGGCGGCGGCGGTGGGCTAGCTTCTCTGTCTCCTCCGGCTGTTCTCCAAGTGTCTGGTCTTCCAGCCAGGGCTGGCTTGGCCCCTTGGCTTTTCCGCCTCCGCGCAGGTCTCGCCTGCCCCAGGCCGCCCACCTGCCTCCTTGCCCCTCTCTGGGGACCCGCCATGGGTTCCCCCGCCTCATGGCTTCAAGGCAGGGGCTCAGTTGAGTGCATCTGAGATCGATGTTGTACACGAGAAGGTGCAAATGTAATGCTGGCTAAAGAGCATAATAGAATTTATGGAAATCACTGGCTCGCACCACAGCCCGTGCAATGATGGAGGTGATTATTAATTAATCATAGTCTTGGGGGAACAGTATCAGTGCAAAGAGTAATTAAAATGAAGCATTGTACAGTTGTACCGAATGATGATTTATGAGCCCGAGGAATTGCCGCTATGCCCTCTCCCTTCCGGCAGGCTCAATGGGAAGGATTAACTGGACGGATTGTTTTCAACAAAACCAGTGGCTTACGGACAGATTTTGATCTGGACATCATCAGCCTGAAGGAGGACGGCCTGGAGAAGGTACGTGGGCTCAGGAGAGGGAGGGACAAGACCTCGGGGGCTTGACATGCCCTGGCATGGCCTGTGCCTTGGTCCTTTGGAGAACACGAAGGCGTGGTCGGGCTGGAGGGGTGCAGAACCCGGTGGCCTGGCCGTGGCCGACACCCAAACTGTCACTCTGTGAGCAAGGGCCACCGGAGATGCTTAACCTGGGAAAAGTAATGAAAGGCTCAGGGGGCAGAAAGACAGACCTGACTTTGGGTGACAGAAACTTCCAACAACGAGGGGGTGCCTACCTGGGAAGTAATGAGCTCACTGTCACTGGAGGCATTTAAGCAAAGATTAAGCAACATGGTTGCTTGTCTGGGAACTGGAGTTGGTTCTTATCCTTGGAGAGAGGTTGAAGTGCATGGATTCTGAATTCCCCCCTCTTGGTTTCTAAGTCCTCAGTGATTCCAGGGGGTTTGGATGAGGATAGCAGGCCCTTTGGGGGCTGGGGCCTCCATCTGGCCACCAGCAAATGTTTGTAATGGGGCCAGTTCTGCTCTCTGGGAACAGTCCACATACTCTGTCGAGTCAGGCTGCTGGGCTGAGGAGATTCAACATTAGCCCCTAATTCTGGACATCCTTGGGGCCTTTGGGCCAGGGGCTCGGCCCCCCGCTCTCGCACCAGGGCATCTGTCCCGCCCTGGCAATGGGGTGTACGAAGTGCAGGGAGCAAAAGCCCGGAGAAGGAGGGGCTGGCCCTGAGGTCTCTGGGCCTTCAGGATGCCCTGATTACTCTCCTGTCCACCCCTGTCTACCCTGGGTCAGGCCTCTCCCTTGGATGATTTTAGCACCCAGCCCTGGCTTCTTCACCTCCACTCCTGAGCCTCCGGCCATCCTGAGTGTATACACACACACATACACACACACATGCACGCACACACACATGCACACACACATGCATGCGTGCACGCAAAGCTTCCCAGCGCACAGCCCTACCCCGCTCCGCTGGTGCCCATGGTCCCCCAGCACCGAGTGAAGCTCCGGCCTCTCACCTGAGCCTTTATGGCTCTCCAAGAAATAACCCAGCCTGCCTTTCCAGACCCAGCCTCCATGGCCCCCAAAACATTCCCCACGGCCCAGCCATGCCCACTCCCTCGAGCCCTCCTTTGCCCACGTGGTCACCCTGGTTGTAGGAGTGGCCTCTGGCTCCTGGGTTCGCTCCCTCAGGCACACACTTGGCTCTGGCTGGGTTGTACCTTGTGGCCAAGTTGACTCCATTCACTTCTGAGTTTCCCCACAGACTCCCGGGGGCCCCCGGGCAGGGGTGTCCAGGGAAACCCCACCTTTCCTCTGCCACTCTTTCGTGCCACATACAGCATCAGCCCCTTAGGGACGGGTTGTGGCTTCTGCTCCTAAGATCAGGGAGACGAGCTGGTCCAACCTCCTCACGGTACGAATCCTCGAGGAGCAGTCTCCCGGCTCCCGTTGAAACCCGGCAGCGCAGGGGGGCCCTTCCTGGTCCACCAGCATTGCTGCAGTGGGATCCACTCAAGTGGCGTCTCATCTTTGCTCTCTCAGCTGTCGGTCTCTGGGGCTGGCCTAAAATTCCGAGGGTGGCAATTAGCCGCACGTACACCACGGCGGCGATGTGCTCCCGGGCCCGCAGCAGACCTCAGGAGTGGGTCACGAGAATACTCCCCATCTGAGCCCATCACAGCAGCCTTCTCCCAACCAAGGACAGGGTGCCTAGAGCCAACACCCGGGAAAAGCCTTCCTACTGTCCCGGGACGAAGGCTGACCTGCGCCCTCCGGAGGCTCCTGCTTGCAGCCACCTGGAGCGTGGGCAGACAGCCTCTGCGGAGCTCAGGCCTCCTCGGTCCTGACTGTTCTCACATCCCCAGGGCACCTGGGGCCTAGCAGGGCGCATGCAGCTGGAAGTCCATAGATGCTTGCGGGGGCCAGGGTTTCAGCTGCTCAGGAACCGCTGGACAGATGTCTGTGGGCCCTCCGGGTGGGCTGCTGGGGACCCTCGTGAGCTCGGCCCACTTGAGAGAAGGACCTCTGACACCGTCTGCCTGTCTCTCCTCTGGGCTCGGGGGTCTGCACAGACAGAAATTCTGCCTGGAGAGGGTGCTAAGCCCAAACACAGCCACCCTGCCTCTTGTCTCATGGCTTCTGTTTGCTAAGCCGGGTCACACTGATCCCGCCAGCTCCCGCGGGGGGCTCTGGGAGGATTAGGGCAGAATTACCCAGGCATAATTACATGGCTCCCTGCTTTCAGCTTTGCGCAGCTCTCTGAATAGGATGTTTGCGTTCGGCCTCTCTGTTTAATTGATTAAGTTTCCTGAGTGCCCCCCAGCTAGGCCAAGGACAGAGTGGGCATGCCAAAACCTTCCTTGAGGGAGAGGACCCGAGAGGGGGGTGGAGCCGGGCAGCAGTGGACCTTCACGCGGCCCTGGGTGTTAGAAGGATTGGTAAACTGGATCTTCCCTGGCCTCCTCCAGCTTTGGGCCTGATAGCAACAAGCACACTGTGGGGACACAGATGATGCCACTTTGGCCACCCTATTTGCCAACTTTAGAAGTAAAACTGCAAAGCTAACTGCTTTCAAACCCAGCGGCCCTCAGGGAGGGCCCTCCTCTCTGGTCTTCTACCCCCAAAACAGCTACAAAGACCAGCTCCTGCCCAGGGTGCCTTCCTGCAGGTGACATGTCTCCTCTGCTGTAACCCATTCTGCAAATGCTTAGTGAACATCTCCCTTGCTCCAGGCCCTGCCCTGGGCTGTGGAGGGTGCATGGCCCCGGGAGGTGGCACCAGAGCGGAGACCCAGTGAGTGAGCAGCTGGGTGCCCAGCCTCTTCCCCAGGAAGAGGGGGGCCCACCAGGCTCAGGGTGCCTCTGCCCCAAGACCCCTGATTTCCTAGTGCACCTGCTCCACGCCTGGCTGAGCTGAGGTCCCTGGACTGTCTTTACGCTCACCTTCTCCTCTGCATTTTCCCCACCAGCTGTGCTGGGGCTGTCAGCAAGGGGGAGGTGGCAGAATTCTGGAGACTCGGCACCTTGGGCCCTCCTCCCAGAAGAAGAGAGGCAACAGGGTTGTCCGAAAGGTTAGCTCACAGCATGTTAGCTGGGATGATGCTCCCGAGGAAGGGGAATGAGTGGATGGTCTTGTTGGCGTGGAGAAAGGATGGAAGGACTGGGGGTTCAGCCCCTGTCTTCTGTCTGTCTGTCCATCCAGGTTGGTGTGTGGAGTCCTACGGAGGGGCTCAACATCACGGAGGTCGCCAAAGGCCGAGGCCCTAATGTCACTGACTCTCTGACAAACAGGTCACTCATCGTCACCACCGTGCTGGTAAGAACCTGCAGCCCCGGAGGAGGGATGGTGTGAGCCGGGGACGGGCTGGAAGGACCCAGACCGGGCACCTCTCGGGGCTACTTCGAGACTGGAAGATGGGGGGGCGGGTGTGGAAACATGGAGGGTCCCTCAGAAAGCCCTCAGTCACTGGAACAGAGCAACTTGCCCGTGGTCATAGGCCAAAGACCACAGCGGGTGGCTGTGAGCGGCCTCTTCCCAAAGACAGAGTGGGCTGGTCCTCATGCCTGTGTGAGATCTGCTTGGAGGCCCATCTGCAGAGGCCTGTGTGTTTGCATTTCCCCCCACCCACCCACACACCCCTGAGTCCAAGTACGAACCACGATGGGGTAGATGGAAGGAGGTTAACCTGCCCTCTGCCCCAGGACTCAGGCCCTACCTCTTCACCTCAGTTCCCAGGGAAAAGGCCCTTCTCGCTGGTACCCCCAGCTGTGGTGGGCGCTCTGGCCACACCCAGGGAGCCCAGAGGTTCTGCGGGGAGCCCACACATGCCACAGTCCACAGTGCCCATCCGGAGAGCTCTCCTCCATGATCACTCTACCTGCCACCCTCCCTCCATTCCCCAGGACTGAATAGCGCCAAGGAGTGGCTCTTGGCATCTCCCAGGCTCTCTGCACCTTGGAGCTCAGGATGGGCAGAAAGACACACCCACACCACTGGCCTCTTAACTGGCCAGTGCTGTGGCCCCTCCGCATGCACCAGCCCTTCCTGGAAGGCCTCCAGGGTGTCCAGAGACTCAGGACCCACCCTTTCAGAGACACAGCACTGCTCTTGGGGACCCAAGCTGGGCCATGCGGAGGAGAGGCAGCCTGATCACCACCCAATAACTTCAGACCAAAGACCTTTGGAGGACAATTCGGTCAGCTTCTCCTTATAATTAAGCTCATACAATACAATAAATGCAATACGAATAAAGCAAATCCTGTACAGAGCGGAGGGCTCAGCCTGGTTTGGAGTGTTCTGACCAAGTAAGGCTGCCTGGGATGGAATCAGAGAGTAGGGCTGGGCACCCGGCTGTGGGCCCTTCCACGGCGCTGGGGTATGGTTTCCCCACCTGCTTCCCACTGGGGGCAGCTCAGCTGGGCCCCACGGAATGGTCCTTTGCCCTCCCTCTCGTGTGACTCACCAGACAGATGCTTGACGGCGGGTGGTGGACACCCCAGCACCTGCAGCCCGTGGGTCTCATCCCCAGTGTCCAAGGTTGTAACCACTGAGAGGATCCATGTGAAAGGAGCCCTAACAGTGGTTCTGGACGTACTGCCGACGGAGCCAGGGTGGGAGGGCTGGGGAGACACCTGCCCCCCCCCAGGTTTGGGCATGAACCCCCCCCCACCCCTGAGCACCTCCCCCAACACCATACATCCTGCCTGCCTTTATTGATCAAATTTTTGTTAACTAAAAAAAAAATAGAAAAATCAGACTGCTGAGGCCAGTAAGTCAAAAGATTTCATCAGGAACGGGAAAAATTGTAAAAAAAAAAACTAAAAAAGATTAAAAAGAAATAAACAAAAAAGAGCAAAGGAATTAAAGACTGATGAGCAACTGAAGGGATATTGATGTGGATGCAAATAGAAAAGTAGAGAGTTGAAAAGAAACAAAAAAGTTAAAGGGAAAATAATAATGAGAAAAATGAAAATAAAGCAAGAGATGAAAAGGGAAACCATCAAGGAAGACGAAAAATTAAAATAAATAATTAACAGCTCCAGCTAGACAAGGTAAAAAATGTAAAACCAAAATGTCAGAAAGCAAGAGGATAAAAGTGTGACAAAGCTAAAATATAAAAGGGTAAAAATAAAATAATAAAAAGGTGGTAAAAGATTAAAAACAGAGCTGCATAAAATGTGAGCTATAAATAAAACACTTTGCACAAGACGAGATTAACAAAGGTAAAACTAGTGCGCTCGGAGAGATTAGGAAGAAGGGTGATGACGTGGGCCCAGATGATTCAGCCACCAAACAATGCCCTCAAGTGAGTGGCAGGGTAGACGTAATATGCCAGAAGGATACGGGATACACACACCTTTAAAGACCATGGGTATGCATTTTATTAAAATGGCAGCAGCCTGATTTCAAGGGCATAAAACCCTTCTGCAAAGGTGCTCGGGATTTGTTTATACCGCAGAGGCAGGATCCAGCAGACATCCTATGCCCTTCTTGAAGCTTCTTGGTCAACACTCGCCGCTTCTTGCAAAGGTCCAGACCTGATGCACTCAGTCACTTGATGGAAGTCCCACTCGCAGCTTCCGGCTGACTCTCAGGCACCCCTGGGGATAGGGGAGGAGAGAAACCCCCTTGGCGCACGGCCTGCACAAAGCTCCATCTGTCCCACTGCCTCTCATCTGGGCGAACACTAGCTCAGCAGCAGTGTGACCAGGATGCAGGGGCAAGACTGTGATGGGTAAGAACACAGACCTTTGGGTCTGAGCCCTGGCTTCACTATTAATTAGCTGTGTGACCCTGGAAAATGGCTTAACTACTCCATGCCTCTGTTTCCCCACCTGAAAAAGAGAGGTGATAATAATTGTATCTACTTCATAGAGTTGAGAGTCTGATGGATTAATAAATCTCGATGGCACAGAGTGCATGCCAAATGATAGCTGCTGTTGTTACTAATGGCTATTATTGATTACAAATGCAGGCCCTGGTGAGCTCAGGTTTAGTACAGTATGCAGAGTGTTCTAGAGAAAGCCTCGGCTTCTGTCCACCCATGAGCCCTGAACTTCACTGAAGACTGACCCCTGACCACAACCACAGAGGTTCTCCCCAGCACAGGCTGCCTCAGAGATTTCGAACTTGCATTCAACAGAACCTCAACACTCCCCATGGTGGACACTCCCCAGCCTCTTGCCTCCTTGTTTCCTGACTGGTCCCTGAAGGCATTAGGGTTTGTGACCTCGACATCCTGAGTCCCTCACAGCTCTAGTCTCCCATTGATATGTCAGACTCCAGACCCAACCACGACCTCATCATCTGCTTTGCCCAAAGTCTGAGCTCCTGGGCCCGACATCATGATAATTCCCTCCCCCTGGCCCCCGTTGGCCTTGACCTCTGACATGGCTGCTGACTCACCTGAAGCAGATGTCCCACTCACCGTCTTAACCCATCCTGCAGTATCAGATGCTCACGTGAACTGGGGGCAGCCCATGATTGCTATCTGCATCCCCACTGCCCAGAGCTCATGGAGGGTAGGGTCTGCTTCTCCCTGTGGGTCCATGAGAGAAGGCCAGTCCTTCCTGGAGGAAGAGGAATGGCCAGGAAAACGTCTGGAGGATCCCTGATGGGGACAGGGGGGGTGACACATAGCCTTTGCTCTGGTCTCTGAGAAACTCTGTGTCCAGCTGAAAATGTCTTCAGAGTCTCCTGAGTGAGAGAGGCCCACGCCCACACAAGGACGGGCCTGGGGCCTCCTTCCCGAAAACCTCAAGCTGGTCCAGACGCTCCTGAACATCTCAGTGTGGTCCGCCGGTCTCAGAGCCCGGGGAGGGCGGGGCTGTTCTCAGGCTGGGGCTCTTTGGGATAGACGTACCAGTTGTGGAGAGTGGCCCAGCCCCAGCTGCTCTGGCTGAAAACCCAGCCCCAGCGCTTGGCAGCGTGAAAGCAGGGCCAGCACGTCCTGCTGAGCGCACTGGGGGCCCAGCCTGCCTGCAAGTGTGTTGTCTGGGCAACGGCACTTTGAGTGACAGGCAGGTACAAAGCCCAGCTCAGGAACATCCAACTGCTTTGCCCCCAGAGAATAGGGCTGGACCCCTAATCAGAGGGGTTTCCGCTCTTTTCCCTGGAATCTGGGCACGACAGAGGGCCGCAGCTCCCCCTGGGCTGCCCTAAACCTGCCTCCTCTCCTCCCCTATCCCAAACCCTGGAGTTAGGAGCAAAGGGTCCCTTACCCTGGACACACAGATGGACGGAGCCCTAACTCCACTCACCCTGGCCCCTCAGAGCTGCAGATGGCCTTCCCCATGCCTGAGGTCGAGAGCCTGGAAGCCTGTCCCCTCTCCGCCCGGCCCCAGCTTCTGTTCGGGCTCTGCTCTTCCATGGGCTCATGAAAAATTCATCCACTCCAACCTCAGCTCACACACCGAGAAAACACACCTACCTCACTCCTGGGGGCCCTGCCTTTGAAGGTTGCGAGTTCTTCGGGCTCTGAAGAAAGCAGCAGTGTTGACATGCATGCGGGTACGTGTGTGGGTGCGGGACTGACCCAGCCACACGCGGGTGTCTGGAGACACACCGATGGGTGTATTTGTGTCGTGTGCGTGTTGTGACCACGTAAGACTCAACGGCCAGGCAGGACCCCTAGCACGGGGCAACAGGAGAGGCAGAGAAGCAAAAGAAGGCCAGGGTGTGGGCTGGGAGGACCATCTCAGGCCAGGGACCACCCTCGGCCCCACCTCCGGGGTGGGCAGGACTCCCAGTGCTCTGTCCTGGTTCTAACAGGCGGAAGCCAAGGTCCTGGGTGCAGGGCCTTCCGCCCCTGTGGCCGAGCAGGGCTGGGCTGACAACACCGAGAATGTACTTCAGCAGCGGTGGCATTGTGCATACAGGTGTGTGCTTTTGTGGACGTGTGTTGGCGCTGCCTGGGTCAGAGGGGGCTTGGGAATGCAGATAGCGGGCAGCTCACCCTTGGATCCTTCCGCCCAAGACCCCTTTCCAACCCCACAGGTCCGGCCACCGGGAGAAGCTTAGCACAAGGCCCAGCTCTCACGTTGGTGTGAGTGATCAGAGAGAGAGCAGACTGAGAGAGCTGGCCACGAAAAGTCGGAAAAGGTTATTTTTCTGGACCCCTGTTTCCTGTGACTTGTTGAAGAGAAATATTACCCCGCTCCTACAGCTGTTCTCCCAGAGCAATAGGAGAGCGTGAAGTTATGAAATTGAGGGCACCTTCACTGAGCAATCGATTAGCAGCCGAGAGAGCTTGTGAATTGGCTGTCTGGACATTTCCAGTAATAAATTGTGAAATAGTCCATGAATAAGTAGTTGGCAGAGTTCAGAATTACCCCCAAGGAAATGTTGCAGGTCTAGAGACACATTACTATGGCGAGCACCATTTTAATGCTCTGGGCTTTGGCTGTTAAATATGTATGCCATCCGCAAAAGCACTTCCCGAAATTAATGACATTTTACAGCTGCTCCGAAGGCAGCGTATTTATATGGAGATGTATAGATTCTGGGGCTGTGGTGGCTTCACAAATGAAGTGCTAATTTTAGAGAATAGGCCCAGGGAGGGGCGTGGAGGGAGGGTCAGGAAGTGAGCTATCTCAGGGCCCTTTCCCTAAAGGTTTTCTGCGGCCAGCTGTGGTTTTTAACCTTTGGTGACCTTGGACATGGTCTCTAGGCTGGAAAGGGCACTGCAGTCACGGGCTACCCGGCACACAGAAAGAAGGTAACGATATTAATGAAAATCAATCAATCAATCTTATTGGCGACTTACATTTGCCAGGCTCTGTTGTAAGTGCTTTTCGTAGATGGACTCATTTACTTCTCACAGCAACCCTGTCTGGTGGGTTCTAGGATTCTCCCCATTTTACAGAAGGAGGTAGATTTTGTCCAGGAATCTGTGTGTGGTTGGTGACTGCCCTGGGAGAGCTAGTACCTTCTCTCCAGTTCTTTCCCTGAGCTCATATCAGGGCCAACAGGGACAGTGGTATACTTTGTTCACTGCACAAGAATATCCGATCAAGAGGATGGGGGTTGGGAAGACTGAAGCTCCTGCCCCCAGGCCCTGTTCACCGGGCCCCATGCCAGGGTTCGGGGCAGCACCTTCTCAGAGATGGATTTGCACGATGGCAGTGTGTGCACCAACCACAGCCCCCTTCCCTCCAGGTAGTCCCCCACACCTTCCCCGGCCCTACCTGGGCTCTTCTCACCAACCCTGTGAGCTGCCTACTTGGTTGCAGTGTGGGGATGGGAGGCATGGAGATTCAGCATGGACTCCAGCCAAAGGCCCCAGTGTTCTACCCAATAAGACCGAGAGGTGATTTTCTCAGAATCCCTGGAGAGGCAGGAACCCCTTGGGGGTTCACACACGCCCCCGTCCTTGCTCTGAAGCATCCCAAAGGACTGTTGAAAATCTAGAGTAAATGAGTCCTGGGGTGGGGTGGGATTTTGAAAGGTGGCCGTACTGGGGGACCAGGGCCAGAGAATCGAGCCCACCTGCCACAGCGGGAGCCCAGCAAGAGGCTGCTGGTGGGTTTCTGCTCCCAAGGACTTCTAATGGAGGTGTTTTCCAAGGCCTTCCATGGCTCAGTCTGCCCCAGGGGCCCCAGGGGCCCACAGTGTCAAAGGAATAGCCACACTGGTTAACAGATGATGAGACGCCTCCATAACTGGGTGTGTGCCCTTCTCGTGGGCATGTGCACGTGGGATTCCCAGTACCCGTGCCCTCTGTCAGCTACTGCTTATCACCCATCCCCTGAGGACCTGAGGCATTCTGACATGGCAGTGGGGGCTGCCGAGGTGGCTTTGGGGAAGGTAAAGGCCCAGAAAGAGGCCGGCAGCTACGGGCAGGAAGCAGTGGAGCTGGACTCTTATCAGACTGCAGTTCAACTCCTGTGTGACCTAGAGCGACTTACCCTCTCTGAGCGTGTTTCCTCATCTGTGGCATGGGGGTAATGTCCCCTGTCCTGCAGGCCTGTGAGGCCTGAATCAAGCAGCCTGTGAGAGAGCCTGAATCGGTGTCCAGTGCGTAGTAGGAGCTCAGGAAACACTGAGTTGGCTCAGGGGTGGCTCGTCCACCACAGCCCGGGGACGGGGACTTGTCCGTGAAGCTGGGTGGGTGGACCCCGGGGAAACACGGACTTGTGCGTCGACCTGCACTTTGGGCCCCTGCTGTGGGCCTGGATTTTACCACAGCAGAGCCCACAGTTCTAACCCCATAGACCTCAGACCGGACCACTGTCTGTCCTGCCTCTGCCCCCGGTTCTCCGCAGGGCGGCGAGGGGCTTGTTTCTAAATGAGAAATCAGGCCGAGGTGTGCCCTCTTCCCAGCCGCTCGCTGGCTCCCCATTGCCTGTCAGGGAGGGAGCCTGAGGTGGGACAGAGGGACCTGTGCTCTGGCTACCGAGAGCTACCTGCCGAGGACCCCGTGCCCATCAGGGAGAGGCACCCTGGGGCTCGGGACCTCTGGCACTGTGAGGGGGTTAAGAACTTGCACTGTGGGGCTACACCCGCCTGAGTTCAGGGGCTCTCCTTGCCAGCAGGGTGAGCTCACGCCAGTCACGCGTCCTTGTGAGTTCACTCTCTGCATCTGTAAAGCGGGACTATTGTTCCCTCCCCGCGCGGGGTGACATCTGGGTCTGTCGAGCACGCCCTTGCTGGGCTGCATGCTAGGCCCTCCACAGGCACTCGGCAATTGCTGACTTATTAGTGCCTCCCGGGTCCACATACGAGTGGAGGCTCTCATATCAGCCCTCACTCTCCTAGCACATCCTCGTGCTGGGGACTGAGATCCTCGGAAGGAGAGAAAGGTATCGGGGAGAAGTCTGGATGGAGGGTCTTGTGCAGTGGGGTGCTCACACATGAGCAGACATTAGAATCCCCTGGAGGGATTCTTCTTCTTTTTTTTTTTTTTAAGATTTATATATTAATTTGAGAGAGAGTGAGTGTGATTGTGAGTGAGGGGAGGGGCAGAAGGAAAGGGAGAATCCCAAGCAGACTCCCCATTGAGTGTGGAGCCCAACGGGAGCCCGATCCCACGACCCTGAGATCATGACCTGAGCCGAAATCAAGAGTCGGATGCTCAACCGACTGAGCCACTGGGGCGCCCCTCCCTTGGAGGGCTTCTTAAAACAGATTGCTGGGCTCCACCCGGGAGTTTCTGGCCCAGTGGTCCGGGTGGGGCCAGAGAGCGTATGTTTCTCACAAGTTGCTGGGTGCTGCTGGGGCTGCTGGTCGGGGACTACACTTTGAGAACTGCTGGCCTTGCACTGATGGTGCAGCAGAGGGCATGGGATTCAAATCCGATCGTTTTGAGTCCAGATGCCTGTTCCACCCCTTACTAGCTCTGATCATTGGACAGTTCATTAGTAAATATCTACCGAGCCCCGGCCTTGGGCCAGGGGCCACTAGAAGGTACAGACGAGCAGAGGTTCCAGCCCAAGCTCTCTCCCAACCCATGCTGCCTTTGTCAGCCCCTCTCCCATCTCTCCCTGCAGGAAGAGCCCTTCGTCATGTTCCGGAAGTCCGACAGGACCCTCTTTGGGAATGACCGCTTTGAGGGCTACTGCATCGACCTGCTCAAGGAGCTGGCCCACATCCTAGGCTTCTCCTACGAGATCCGGCTGGTGGAGGACGGCAAGTATGGGGCACAGGACGACAAGGGCCAGTGGAACGGCATGATCAAGGAGCTCATCGACCATGTAAGCGGGAAGGGAGCCCCAGGGCCTGGGGAACCCCTGGGAGGTTTGGCCAAGTCCAGTGCATGTTAGGGTGGGGCATCCCAGCAGGTGGGGACCCTGGGGGCAGGGGAGATGGAGACAAAGGTTGTGACTTTGGGAAGGACCCAGCTGCCTGGGTCCTGCCTTGCTCATGCTCCCCAGCTCTCAGACACTGCCCTCCACACAAGCACACATGCACTCCCCCCACCCCCGCCCCTTCTGACTGAGCCTTTCCCACTGGTGTCTTTGGTGAGCTCACTCTGGAGGACTCCCTCAGCTCCTCACTGCTTCTTGCTCTTTTAGGAGCAACCAAAGGATGCCCCAGCCACGTGGGCAAGGTGCCAGCACAAACCCTTCACCAAACTCTAGGGCACAGAGTTAGATCTGTCCCTGCCTTGAGTGACTTTGGGCCCAGTGGGGAGACTGGTGGTGCAGGGAGCTGAGGGCTTGGTGAGGGGACAAGCAAGGGTCAGCTGGGACGTACTGTGCCTGAGTGGGGAGAGGACAGGGAAGCAGACAGATGGGGCTTTAGGAAGAACGGGCAGCTGGTGGGAGGGGCCTGGGGTTTGTGGGACCCTGGGAGGAAGACAAGCCACGGTGTGGGGTCACCACAGCAGGGGGCAGGCAGGGGCCCTGGGTTTGAGTGCCAGTATCCCACTCACCAGCTGTGTGAACAGGGGCCTGCCAGGGCAACCCCTCTAAGTGATTTCCTCATCTGTGGGATGGGCGTCATTCCCTCCTTCCTCAGAGGATTACTGTGACCCTGGATGGAAGTACTAGGTGTGGGGCGTGGCCCACGGCGAGGCCCTCAGTAAGACGAAGGCTTGTCAGATGCCCAGATGCAGTCCGCTGGAGCTGAGGCTCAGGCCCCACAAGTTAGCACTTAGTAGGTGTGCGACCGGGTATGTTCCTCAACCTGCCCAAGTCTCAGTTTCTGCACTTCTAAAATAGGAGTAAGTGACAACCACCAGAGCTCCTGCAGTTGTTGCAGGAATGAAAGGAGGAGCCATTTGCGCAGGCTCAGGTGGCACGTAGAAAACGTTTCCTGCCTTCCAGCCCAGGGCCCTCAGCTTTCCAGAGGCATCTGTTAGCAAAGACCTGCTAACGAATGTGAGGACCTGATCCATGCTAGACCCCTTATGTTCCCCTCCTCTCAGTTATCCTCACAACGACCCCGTGAGGTAGGTCCTGTTCCTACCACCCATTTTACAGATGAGGAAACCGAGGCAGAGAGAGGTGAGGACCCACGGATCGTAAGTGCTGGAGCTGGGGTTCAAAGCAGCGGAGTCTTTGGAAGCTCTCTGCTTTCGGAAGCCCCGTGCTCCAACCCCTGCAAAGAGCCCTCTTGACCCCAGGAGGCAGGGCAGACTTGGGCTCCCGCTGTGTAGATCTTGGCATGGAAAGTACCAGCCACGGGGATTGTTACCGAGGCGGGGAGCTGCCCTACAGGGACCCTGGAGCCTTGGAGGGGAGGGAGCAGTGGGAAGGCTCAAGCAGAGCCTTCATTTCCTAGGCCCCCCGGAACTCAGGCTCCCGTGGAGGGCTGGTGGGAGAGGCTCATGGTCACCAGCATGAACTTGGGCTGGGCTTCATTCCCACTCCGCCATTACCTAGCTGTGCGGCCCTGGACAAGTTTCTCGGCCTCTCTATGTCTCTGTTTCCCTATCTGTAAAATGGGAATGGCAGTAACTGAGCCAGCCCCATAGGCTGTGAGGGCTAAGTTCACAACCGTGCATTAGGTTATCTGCACCAGGTCAGTAGTTGATCTTCTTATTTTTATTTGTATCATACGGTTACTCCTTCAAGGCCGAGGAGGGGGCTTCAGGAAGTCCCCTTAAGTCCCTGAGCTCCTAGTTTCCAAGCCAGCAGCGAGAATACGAATACGGAATACCTGCCCTGCGTTCTTCCCAGCATGTTGAGCGGCTGGGAGGAGACAGCTGGTGGGGAAGCACTCTTCGAGTGTGGAATCCGGTGTAAAGGGAAGGGAGTGGTGTTGTCATCATTATTAGTAATAACTATAATTATTATGGAAATTAGTCAGCAGGCCCCAGAGGCCTCTCCATTTCTCGGCTCCCCACGGCAGCTTGGTGCGGGGCCTCTGGAACGCAGGGCCCCAGTGGGTGTCAGCGCCTGTCCTCTGCAGAGGCAGGCTGGGGAGGGGGAGCTCCGGGGCCACCTGTGGAAGTGAGCAGGGCTGGTGCCAGTCCTGGCAGCCAGGGCATATCCAGCGTCCAGACTTTGAAGAGCATTCACAAGGGGGCAGATCAGAAAAACCCAGCCTCTCTAAGGCCTCTCGAAGCTGACCCTCCACTGGGGAAAAGAGGGGAGGTGGCCTCGTCTGCGGCCTCCATGCGGCGCCGTATCCATCAAGGCACGGGCCCTGACGGGACATGCAGGGGACCTTGTTAAACCCGATTCCCTACAATTGATGAGCCTATTAATCCTAGCTTGGTGCCATTTTTAATAACATCATAACCATTTATTAGTGTCGTCAGATAATTAGTCTTCTCGCTAGCTCATAGGTAGCGTGGTAAAGGCTTGGCAATATTATTACTTCCTTATTAGGGATCTGGACGCAGACGTAAAAATGATGAATGCCTGCCTTTGCAAGAATCTGCCCCCTGAGGCCCATTTGGAGGCCCTGGGTGGAACCTCTGACCAGCAGGACTTAAGAAGTCCTTCTCGGACACTCTGCTCACCTCTGTCCCATGCCACATGGCCTTCCAGGGAGCCAGGCTTATGGAAGAAGATGGGGCAGGCGCAGGGTGCGACCCCCTCCTGCGGACACACTCCTCTTGCCCCCCTCACCCCACTGCCTCTTCCAACGGTGCGAGCAACAGACGGATCGGACAGAGCAGTGATGTCTCCATCCGTCAGCCTGGCTCTCCCAGACTGTCGCTCTCTCCAGCTTTACTGTCTGCTCTCTCTCATTTCCCTTCTCTTGAAGTTCTTCTGCCCACGTCCATGCCTTAAATTACTCCCAGGTGTTTTAATGACTCTGGAATCCAATAGAGATGACTTCAGATTCCGGGTCTAGCACATACTCAATCTCTCTGGCCTCTCTTTCCACATCTATGAGATGGGAGTAATAAAAAAAAAAAAAAGCCTTCTTCCCAGGGTTTGTAGGACAATTTAATGAGATACGGCCCGGAGAGCTTAGCAGAGTGCCCTGGGGCTCCGTAAATGGGCAGCACCTGGGACCTGCCCCTTAGCCTTCCCTCCAGGGACAGCCCTGCTGTCTAAAGTAGGCACGTGGATGAACGTGGTGGCAGGGGCAGAGCTGGTCCCTCAGCCACGGTCATCCTGGTGGGCCACAGTGACCCGGGATCTCAGCCTTGCCCCTCTGAATCCAAATAGGAGCCTCAGGAAACTGACCCAGACTCACAGAGAACGGAGGCACACTGCAAGGCATCAGCCCCTTACTTAGCTTGGGGGCATTGGCCTTTCCTGACACCTGCCATCCAGAGCTTCTGTCCTGGCACCCGGTGTCCAGGACCGTGCTGGGGGCTGGGGAGCGGGTGATGGCAGAGCTTTCAGAGGCCCCCGGAACTCAGGCTCCCGTGGAGGGCTGGTGGGAGAGTCTGAATCCAAGAAGAGAGGCTGCTGCTGGAGAAGGGGGCAAGAGACGTTCTTGAAGAGCCTTGGGTGCTAAATGGAGGCATTTGGTTTTCATCCTGAGAGCTGGGGGGGCCACAGCTGGAAGGGAGTGACATGAGAATCACGTGGAGGAAAATCACTGTGCTTCTGGGCTAAACTGGAGCCGGTCTGGAGGCCATCGCTGGGGCCTGGGTGAAGGAGAGCATGGTGGAGAGAAAGAAGGGAGTGCTGCAGTGGGGAAGGCGGGAGGGAGATGGCTCGGGATGGAGACGAGAAGGTAGAATTGAAAAGATCGGTGATGGTTGCATGGAGGAGGTGAGGGAAAGGGAGGATTTTTGCATCAGGACAGGTATGAAATTCCAGCTGGACAGATGACCGTGTCATCCCCAAATAAAGAGCCTCCTGGCCAAATCGAGGAGGTGGGGGAGGTATGGAGATCATGCTGGGATTGAGGTGCCAGGAGGTGGCTGGCTATATGGCTGGGCAGTCAGAGGAGAGAGCAGGACAGGAGGTGGAGATGTGAGAGGCATCAGCACAACTCGTGGGGGGACCTTGGGAGGCAGTCAGAGGTGGGACTGCTGGGCAGAGGAGAGATGGGAACCTGGGGAGGACCCGAACGACAAGGAAGCCTAAGGAGAGAGGAAAAGGAGGACTCCACAAGACGCCGGAGCTGCCAAGGCCAGAGAGGAAGGAGGAGAACCAGGAGAGCATGGGTGACAGAGGCCAAAGGAGGAGAGGCTCCTGGAGAGGCATGGGCACAGGGTCACACGTAGCAGGCAGGGAGGTCAAAGGAGAGGCGTAAACAGCGTCCACGTGTTGGCGTGAGCGGCAGGGCCAGCCCCAGCTTGGGGTTTCCTGAGTGCTCCTGGCCTGGCTTCCTGCAAATTTTATTCTCTGCGACCCAGGAATCCGGTCCTGGCTGCCTCTCCTAAGCCCTGGAATCAGAGGGGGTGGGTTAGGCAGAGACAAAGCAGGAGCCTAGCCTTAAGCTAATGCATAAATGCCCCCCAGGTCACAGGAAGCCATTAGTTCTCCTTCCTCTCAGTTTTCATACCTCACTTAGAGCAGGTGAGGAGGATTCGCTGGCTCATGGATGGGCCCAGACCAAGATGGGGGATAGAACAGGATGGAGACGAGGAGCGGTCGCGGGTAGCCGCGGCATGTCACCCCTTCCCTTGTGAGAGACTTGGCACGGCCCGGACATCCCCTCTGCCTCCTCGTCGCGTTGAGCGCCGAGCAGAGAGAATGGCACGGCTCCAGGTGCCCATTTCCCCCACCCGACCCTTCTTCCAGACAGCGAGCGCCTGCGGAACCGCTCTGGGCGTGGGCCGGGCACACGGTGCAGGTGTTGGTGAATGAAGGGTGTGTGAGTGAGCCCAGGACTC